TCGACAAATTGTTCGTGTACTGTTCACTTCTTTGAGCATTGTAATGAGGATTAGTCTGCTGCCTACCGCGCATCTTACCAGCAGGTTCGGGGTTGTAGGTGTAGTTCATCACAGAGAAGTAGATTGTGAATGCACATACATTCGAAACTTTTAAAAAGCAATCACACAACTTATTATTGCGGATCAAATACGATTGAGTCATTTTGGCTTGCCCATTGTCCTTCAATGTAGCAAATTCACTTAGCATTTCGCGCTCAGTAAATTTTGGTCTTCCATGGTAGTCAATATATCAACCTCAAATACCAGTTATAGATCAAACCAATTCTCGCCTTAAAGCTCAAAGGACATTAATGCTGGACATACAACGGAGTTACACGGCGGTTATTCAACCGGGATATGTTGTGTGTCCACACCAAGTACAGATATGTGGATCTGAGTGGTACGGTCTTGGTACAATGTACTTACGGTAATACCGCATCTTATCGGGTAAGGATAAAGGAGAAGACTTCTGTTATAGGATCGCAATGTCAAATTCAGTCAGACAAGGTTTTAGGGTTTTATTACCGTAGTTTAAGAATAAATAAAGTTCAGTTCCCCTTTTGAGTCGTCGGACGCTAGTGCCTAGTCAAGGCTCAGTGTGTTGTTAAGAGCATTAGCCCCCGTCAAGGAGCCTACTCTTTTCAACTAGTAGTGACTAGTTAGTGTGTTTTTCTGTGAATCTTAAACCCTTTGGAACTGAGATTGTTAAGCTTGTGCGCTTGATCGACTGTACGACGTTGTTCGTTGTTATAACTAACAAACTCTTTAAGTCCAATCCTTCCTCTGTTAAGGAGTGCTTGGTAGCTCCACTACACTTGGTGGCACCTGGTGTCAATCTCCACCTAGGTCTTCACATGCGGAAACCTTTGCGAGGATGTACAGCCATGAACCTCTCTGAGGCGCAGCAGTTCATTTTTGAGAAGCCAAAACGTTAATCAGACACGAGCAAGTTGCTTTTATGATGACGCAAGGTGGCCATGGACAGGTCCATGACCGTTTTTCATCTACCATGCCCACTCGGTATGTTCCAATACCGGACACTGAGTCAAGGACTCGTCCTCTAGTCTTAATTGTCAAGACTTTTGAGGGGAAGAGGGAGAAAATCTCCATTCTGGGTTCGAGAGATAGATGTTGCCACCAGCTCGGCCCTGCTGCGTTCATGGCAGCAAAAGGTGAACCTGGCTCGATAGAAGTTAGGTGGACGAGACAGGGAGTGGGCCTTTACTTCTGGCACCTCGATAGACGAGTTTTTTTCACCTGAGGCATGCTAAAACAGCAGCTATGTCGGGTGTTCGCCCCGTCTAATCAGGCATATTGTGTGCGATCACGCTTCCTTTCAACCTGCCGGGATAAAAAGTACTCGGTCGATTATGTCCAGGAGTTACGGACTCTCATTGCTGGTATGAAACTTGACCCTTTGCCTGAGACGGTTCCGGTAACCATTTTCATGGACGTTATTCGCACTGACGTTGCCAGACTGGAAGTGTTTTGTGCCCAACCCTCGGAAATTAAGGGTGCAGTGGTCATGGCGTTGAACACAGAGTTCAACTTTAAAACTGCCAGTTATGGGACTCATGGGTTCGAGCCAAACTCGTCGAGTCATGCTCATCTAATGGATCGGGCGGAACCCATAGACCTTATTCTTGTTGAAAGAGATGAAGAAGCTGATCTCTACGATGTTGAACAGCTTTCGAACACCCGTTGATGTTCTACGTGCGGAAGTATCGAACATCTTCGCCCAAATTGTCCTTTAATAAAGACCGGACAGGCTCATTCGAGCTTACCTCTCGTCGCTAACCATGGATTGGTAAGGCGCGGGAAAACGTCGAGTCTCAGAAGGCGCGGGGCGCCCTGCTGGGTAAAATTTAAGCTCTGTTACACCTCTCAAACGTGATGAAGAACAAGGCCTATCCTTAAGTGTCTTCGTGAGAAATTTACGAAGCGTTCGTACAAGCCAGGCTTGTTAGTTGCAACAATAACAGTATAGGGCTTTGATAAGCCATGGTCGATATTGATCGACTCCGGGGTGTCTGAAAACTACATCCAACATTGTTCCCTGGAAGGGATTCAGCAGTTTTCTACGGCGCTGAATGCGCGAAAGAGTGAGACTATTACCGTTCGCTTGGCGACAGGCACATTAGTCACTGTGCCTAAAGTTCCTCTGAACTTAGGCGTTAAGTCTTTGGACTTTGACAGTGTCGAACGCTTTCTAGTCCTTGACTTGGATGAGAGGTATGATATCCTCCTTATTGTGGCTTGGATAGAATGTCATGGGCCATGAATTGATTGGAGGTCAAAGACTTTAAGCGCAACGCGTACTGTTACTGGTGGAGCTTTGGAGAGTCACGAGCCCACCTCTGCTAGGAGACAGAATCGCTATTAACGAGAGCCACGGACTGAGACATTCAGTGTGATGGACATCGGTATGGCTGAACTCATTAAGTTGGACGGTGTCTAAAACGTTAGTTACGAGCCAAGATCAATGACTGTTAGTGAGACGGCACGCACTTCGTCGAGTGATAGTCGTTGTGATAAATAATCGCTTAATGCTGAATGCATTGTTGGCCTAGAGCCGTGGCATCATGGGTTGAACCCATCTGGTGGGCGTGGAGTGGCACGTAAGTATGCCACTGAGTGATGTTGGCCGTGATTGCGACCCACTAAATGTCAGTCAAGACATTGTTGGTGAAGCACCAAGTCATCAAAGGCGAGACCCATTTGATGAGCGTGGAGTGGCACGTAAGCACCCACTGGGTGGCGATACCACTGGAAGTGACTCATCACCAGATGTCGGTAATGACATCGGATCTAAAACAGATCAAATGAAGGTTGACGTAGTTCTTCACCTTGGGTACAGTGTAGTCCCAGATGTCGGTAATGACAACGTCCCCAATATTGTGAAATAAACGTCGACGAAGGTCGTCACATCGAGGGCGGTTTAGTCCTGGATGTCGGTAATTGCAACGACTATGGTAATTATTATCTTTAGGTTGACGAGCATGTTAATCTTGGGAACATAGATGTCTCGGGTGTCGGTAATGACACCGGCTCTTGTACAGAGCAATTCAAAGATGATGATGATGCTAACCTTGGTAATCAGAAAGTTCCAGTCTCTATAAGACGTCCAGTCTCGTCACAGAGACGACAGCGATTCCATATTGTTGTTATGCAACGAAAGGCTTCACTTACGTTACTGAGCGATACTAGAGAGCAGCTATGTACAATTGGTAATGGAGTGACCGGTGATATAGATGTGTCAGTGAGTCTTGAGACTCAACCCGCACTAAATTCTCTGTTGGATCTGGACAAAATGTCCGTCGATGAGTTTGGCCTGACATTAAAGTCACGTTTCAAATGTGTCTTCGGTGACACTTTGCGCATTGTTTGCGCTGATACGCCTATGCGCTGGACCTCTATGCTACTTGTGGTCGAGTTTGCGTTAAACAACGCAGTTCATGACTCTATTGGCTTTACTCCATTCTGCGTGAATAGTCTCACCCACCCACGCTTTCCTTTAACGCTTCCACTATGTGGTTCTGGGATTGGTGGGGGAGGAATAGCCAATCGGCTTGCTGATGTCAGCCCAACTACTGTTCATAAACAGGTGAGCGCGATCGAATGCCTCACGACATGCACGTGACGCAATGACTGATTGCCAGGACAAATAAAAGGAACACGCTGATGTCAAAGGCAGAAACTGTATGGAAGTTATGAAGTTGGAGTCCTAGTCTTACATAACACTAAGAATCTACCTACCAAGGTGATTTCTGCGGTCTGTAGAACCAAGTTGCGTCCCCGCTTCATTGGACCATATACGTTTGTGGCCAAGAAGGCCTAGAGTATACGCTCAACCTTCCACGCAAGATGCGAACACAACTATTTCTTTAAGTCCGCTTGCTTAAGCCTTATCTTGATCCGTCACGGGTGGATTACGAAGCGCTTGCGCCGAAGGAGTTGGCGATACCACAAGTCGAGGACCCCTCAAGAGAAGATCCAGTTGTCTTTCAAGACGCGTCACGCGGTCACGAAGACCATGCACCTCGTGCACTAACCCGTAGGCGACGCGTCGAGACTCACCAGCCACCGCCTGCTCTCGTTGACGAGCAAGGGTATCAACAGTGCCATGCTGAACGAATCCTACAGCAAACTCGTCGCGACGGTCAGTAACAGTACTTGGTACGGTGGCGGGGGTACCCTGAGTCGGAGAACTCACGGGAGTATGAAGTGCCACTGCGGCAGGATTTTCCGTACACCGTTGACGTTTCTGAGCATCGTCTTCAGGGTCATTCGACCCATACCGCTTCCCAATAGTTGATGCAAGAGTGGAGGGGGATGCAGCTGCAGCAGCTGCACGTGCGGGTCCGTAGCTGCCCTAGCATGGCGGGTGCGACAGAACGATTGCAGTTGGATTCTAGCCTTTTGCTTTGCGAAATTGAAGCGCAGCTTTCGCTTGAGCCGAACGTCAGCAAGTGAAGCGCTCTCTAGTAGATTCGACAGGATTGGTAAATGACGAGCTATGTGAGCCCAACGCGTGAAGACGACATCATTTTCTGCCTCCGTCTCACCTGGGTAGAGAACGAGGAGTAATGTCCGCATTGCAGACACTGACGCACCTCGTGCTTGCTGATTCAGCCTGTCGAGGTAATCTTGGGCGGTTGTACGCTCGACTCCCAGGTTTCTCGCTCTGAGAGACTTCCCCCGCGCTCGCTCTTTGGCTGTAGCAGCTTTGAATACCGTGACCCATGTTGCGAGTGACCGCCCGGCAGTTTGACGAACGCGTTCATCCACACTCGGTCGTGTGAAGCGGTGACCACTGCGAGCATACGCTGTGGCTTTTTATATGCTTGACGCCTGCGGTCATTGACCGAGTGAAGGTATTGAGCTTGATCTCCATCAAGAGTGTTGTTCAACACACCCAACGCCGGTCCGACGTCTGCACGCTGTGCAAGGGGTGAAGGTACCTACTCGCGTTCCACGAATGGATTAGACGCGACGCGCGTGGTGTCACGCGCCGGTGGCGTAGCTGGAGGTATGTCATAGACACTCGACGCGACGGTGTTAATCCCGTAGTCCAAGATACCCTCTTCTAAAAATTCCTCAAGGGTGTTGGACGAAGGCTTTGACTCAGTCATTTCGAGATGTGATGTAAACACGATGGTCAGGGCCAGAGCGTTGGTAGACCTCAAAGCGCAGAAGAAGAATTGTCGACACCCTTGTGTCGACGGTTTGTTAGGGGAGGCTGTAACGGGTTTACAAGGCAGTTATTGAACCGGGATATGTTGTGTGTCCACACCAAGTACAGATATGTGGATCTGAGTGGTACGGTCTTGGTACAATGTACTTACGGTAATACCGCATCTTATCGGGTAAGGATAAAGGAGAAGACTTCTGTTATAGGATCGCAATGTCAAATTCAGTCAGACAAGGTTTTAGGGTTTTATTACCGTAGTTTAAGAATAAATAAAGTTCAGTTCCCCTTTTGAGTCGTCGGACGCTAGTGCCTAGTCAAGGCTCAGTGTGTTGTTAAGAGCATTAGCCCCCGTCAAGGAGCCTACTCTTTTCAACTAGTAGTGACTAGTTAGTGTGTTATTCTGTGAACCTTAAACCCTTTGGAACTGAGATTGTTAAGCTTGTGCGCTTGAACGACTGTACGACGTTGTTAGTTGTTATAACTAAAAAACTCTTTAAGTCCAATCCTTCCTCTGTTAAGGGGTGCTTGGTAGCTCTACTGCATCCGAGGCTGCTCCTTCAGAGCGGTAGTTGAGCCTGAACGAAATACTGATGATGAATGACTGGCGACATGGTTTTCATGTGTACCACTCCGACTATGTAAACTAGGACGTGTGGCAACTTTTTAAAAATATACCATCGCGAGGTATTGTTAAAAAAATTAAATAAAGCTTATTTAGTGTGGTGGGGACGCAATTACTTTCAATATACATCACAGTTGAGATGTAGGAACAAATAAAGTGACCTGGTGGAGTATCAGAAATTTCGGGACGCGAACGTCGTGTTCGCTTAAAGGACTTTTCACAAAAAGAGATCTATGATCGTCCATTGCGTGCTAAACGAAGGTTGCTTTGTAAATATTTACCATAGGTACGATGTATGCAGAATGTTGCGCGATATTGGTCGTAGAACAAAATGATGGCGCGACGATCGTCGTACAAAGTTTTTCGTGGTGTGGTCTGACTTTGATACATGGGTTGTACCTGGTATAAGCTACGATGAATATGACAATGCCCTGAAAGTAGGTGCAGCGGATACAATTAGCGCTTCTCAACAGAAGAAGGCTTGTACTTTAAGAGTTTTTTAGTTATAACAACGAACAACGTCGTACAGTCGATCAAGCGCACAAGCTTAACAATCTCAGTTCCAAAGGGTTTAAGATTCACAGAAAAACACACTAACTAGTCACTACTAGTTGAAAAGAGTAGGCTCCTTGACGGGGGCTAATGCTCTTAACAACACACTGAGCCTTGACTAGGCACTAGCGTCCGACGACTCAAAAGGGGAACTGAACTTTATTTATTCTTAAACTACGGTAATAAAACCCTAAAACCTTGTCTGACTGAATTTGACATTGCGATCCTATAACAGAAGTCTTCTCCTTTATCCTTACCCGATAAGATGCGGTATTACCGTAAGTACATTGTACCAAGACCGTACCACTCAGATCCACATATCTGTACTTGGTGTGGACACACAACATATCCCGGTTCAATAACTGCCTTGTAAACCCGTTACAGCCTCCCCTAACAAACCGTCGACACAAGGGTGTCGACAATTCTTCTTCTGCGCTTTGAGGTCTACCAACGCTCTGGCCCTGACCATCGTGTTTACATCACATCTCGAAATGACTGAGTCAAAGCCTTCGTCCAACACCCTTGAGGAATTTTTAGAAGAGGGTATCTTGGACTACGGGATTAACACCGTCGCGTCGAGTGTCTATGACATACCTCCAGCTACGCCACCGGCGCGTGACACCACGCGCGTCGCGTCTAATCCATTCGTGGAACGCGAGGAGGTACCTTCACCCCTTGCACAGCGTGCAGACGTCGGACCGGCGTTGGGTGTGTTGAACAACACTCTTGATGGAGATCAAGCTCAATACCTTCACTCGGTCAATGACCACAGGCGTCAAGCATATAAAAAGCCACAGCGTATGCTCGCAGTGGTCACCGCTTCACACGACCGAGTGTGGATGAACGCGTTCGTCAAACAGCCGGGCGGTCACTCGCAACATGGGTCACGGTATTCAAAGCTGCTACAGCCAAAGAGCGAGCGCGGGGGAAGTCTCTCAGAGCGAGAAACCTGGGAGTCGAGCGTACAACCGCCCAAGATTACCTCGACAGGCTGAATCAGCAAGCACGAGGTGCGTCAGTGTCTGCAATGCGGACATTACTCCTCGTTCTCTACCCAGGTGAGACGGAGGCAGAAAATGATGTCGTCTTCACGCGTTGGGCTCACATAGCTCGTCATCTACCAATCCTGTCGAATCTACTAGAGAGCGCTTCACTTGCTGACGTTCGGCTCAAGCGAAAGCTGCTCTTCAATTTCGCAAAGCAAAAGGCTAGAATCCAACTGCAATCGTTCTGTCGCACCCGCCATGCTAGGGCAGCTACGGACCCGCACGTGCAGCTGCTGCAGCTGCATCCCCCTCCACTCTTGCATCAACTATTGGGAAGCGGTATGGGTCGAATGACCCTGAAGACGATGCTCAGAAACGTCAACGGTGTACGGAAAATCCTGCCGCAGTGGCACTTCATACTCCCGTGAGTTCTCCGACTCAGGGTACCCCCGCCACCGTACCAAGTACTGTTACTGACCGTCGCGACGACTTTGCTGTAGGATTCGTTCAGCATGGCACTGTTGATACCCTTGCTCGTCAACGAGAGCAGGCGGTGGCTGGTGAGTCTCGACGCGTCGCCTACGGGTTAGTGCACGAGGTGCATGGTCTTCGTGACCGCGTGGCGCGTCTTGAAAGACAACTGGATCTTCTCTTGAGGGGTCCTCGACTTGTGGTATCGCCAACTCCTTCGGCGCAAGCGCTTCGTAATCCACCCGTGACGGATCAAGATAAGGCTTAAGCAAGCGGACTTAAAGAAATAGTTGTGTTCGCATCTTGCGTGGAAGGTTGAGCGTATACTCTAGGCCTTCTTGGCCACAAACGTATATGGTCCAATGAAGCGGGGACGCAACTTGGTTCTACAGACCGCAGAAATCACCTTGGTAGGTAGATTCTTAGTGTTATGTAAGACTAGGACTCCAACTTCATAACTTCCATACAGTTTCTGCCTTTGACATCAGCTTGTTCCTTTTATTTGTCCTGGCAATCAGTCATTGCGTCACGTGCATGTCGTGAGGCATTCGATCGCGTAGCGAGAAAATCGCTCACCTGTTTATATACAGTAGTTGGGCTGACATCAGCAAGCCGATTGGCTATTCCTCCCCCACCAATCCCAGAACCACATAGTGGAAGCGTTAAAGGAAAGCGTGGGTGGGTGAGACTATTCACGCAGAATGGAGTAAAGCCAATAAAACTGCGTTGTTTAACGCAAACTCGACCACAAGTAGCATAGAGGTCCAACGCATAGGCGTATCAGCGCAAACAATGCGCAAAGTGTCACCGAAGACACGTTTGAAACGTGACTTTAAGGTCAGGCCAAACTCATCGACGGACATTTTGTCCAGATCCAACAGAGAATTTAGTGCGGGTTGAGTCTCAAGACTCACTGACACATCTATATCACCGGTCACTCCATTACCGATTGTACATAGCTGCTCGCTAGTATCGCTCAGTAACGTAAGTGAAGCCTTTCGTTGCATAACAACAATATGGAATCGCTGTCGTCTCTGTGACGAGACTGGACGTCTTATAGAGACTGGAACTTTCTGATTACCAAGGTTAGCAGGATCATCATCTTTGAATTGCTCTGTACAAGAGCCGGTGTCATTACCGACACCCGAGACATCTATGTCCCCAAGATTAACATGCTCATCAACCTAAAGATAATAATTACCATAGTCGTTGCAATTACCGACATCCATGACTAAACCGCCCTCGATGTGACGACCTTCGTCGACGTTTATTTCACAATATTGGGGACGTTGTCATTACCGACATCTGGGACTACACTGTACCCAAGGTGAAGAACTACGTCAACCTTCATTTGATCTGTTTTAGATCCGATGTCATTACCGACATCTGGTGATGAGTCACTTCCAGTGATATCGCCACCCAGTGGGTACTTACGTGCCACTCCACGCTCATCAAATGGGTCTCGCCTTTGATGACTTGGTGCTTCACCAACAATGTCTTGACTGACATTTAGTGGGTCGCAATCACGGCCAACATCACTCAGTGGCATACTTACGTGCCACTCCACGCCCACCAGATGGGTTCAACCCATGATGCCACGGCTCTAGGCCAACAATGCATTCAGCATTAAGCGATTATTTATCACAACGACTATCACTCGACGAAGTGCGTGCCGTCTCACTAACAGTCATTGATCTTGGCTCGTAACTAACGTTTTAGACACCGTCCAACTTAATGAGTTCAGCCATACCGATGTCCATCACACTGAATGTCTCAGTCCGTGGCTCTCGTTAATAGCGATTCTGTCTCCTAGCAGAGGTGGGCTCGTGACTCTCCAAAGCTCCACCAGTAACAGTGCGCGTTGCGCTTAAAGTCTTTGACCTCCAATCAATTCATGGCCCATGACATTCTATCCAAGCCACAATAAGGATGATATCATACCTCTCATCCAAGTCAAGGACTAGAAAGCGTTCGACACTGTCAAAGTCCAAAGACTTAACGCCTAAGTTCAGAGGAACTTTAGGCACAGTGACTAATGTGCCTGTCGCCAAGCGAACGGTAATAGTCTCACTCTTTCGCGCATTCAGCGCCGTAGAAAACTGCTGAATCCCTTCCAGGGAACAATGTTGGATGTAGTTTTCAGACACCCCGGAGTCGATCAATATCGACCATGGCTTATCAAAGCCCTATACTGTTATTGTTGCAACTAACAAGCCTGGCTTGTACGCACGCTTCGTAGATTTCTCACGAAGACACTTAAGGATAGGCCTTGTTCTTCATCACGTTTGAGAGGTGTAACAGAGCTTAAATTTTACCCAGCAGGGCGCCCCGCGCCTTCTGAGACTCGACGTTTTCCCGCGCCTTACCAATCCATGGTTAGCGACGAGAGGTAAGCTCGAATGAGCCTGTCCGGTCTTTATTAAAGGACAATTTGGGCGAAGATGTTCGATACTTCCGCACGTAGAACATCAACGGGTGTTCGAAAGCTGTTCAACATCGTAGAGATCAGCTTCTTCATCTCTTTCAACAAGAATAAGGTCTATGGGTTCCGCCCGATCCATTAGATGAGCATGACTCGACGAGTTTGGCTCGAACCCATGAGTCCCATAACTGGCAGTTTTAAAGTTGAACTCTGTGTTCAACGCCATGACCACTGCACCCTTAATTTCCGAGGGTTGGGCACAAAACACTTCCAGTCTGGCAACGTCAGTGCGAATAACGTCCATGAAAATGGTTACCGGAACCGTCTCAGGCAAAGGGTCAAGTTTCATACCAGCAATGAGAGTCCGTAACTCCTGGACATAATCGACCGAGTACTTTTTATCCCGGCAGGTTGAAAGGAAGCGTGATCGCACACAATATGCCTGATTAGACGGGGCGAACACCCGACATAGCTGCTGTTTTAGCATGCCTCAGGTGAAAAAAACTCGTCTATCGAGGTGCCAGAAGTAAAGGCCCACTCCCTGTCTCGTCCACCTAACTTCTATCGAGCCAGGTTCACCTTTTGCTGCCATGAACGCAGCAGGGCCGAGCTGGTGGCAACATCTATCTCTCAAACCCAGAATGGAGATTTTCTCCCTCTTCCCCTCAAAAGTCTTGACAATTAAGACTAGAGGACGAGTCCTTGACTCAGTGTCCGGTATTGGAACATACCGAGTGGGCATGGTAGATGAAAAACGGTCATGGACCTGTCCATGGCCACCTTGCGTCATCATAAAAGCAACTTGCTCGTGTCTGATTAACGTTTTGGCTTCTCAAAAATGAACTGCTGCGCCTCAGAGAGGTTCATGGCTGTACATCCTCGCAAAGGTTTCCGCATGTGAAGACCTAGGTGGAGATTGACACCAGGTGCCACCAAGTGTAGTGGAGCTACCAAGCACTCCTTAACAGAGGAAGGATTGGACTTAAAGAGTTTGTTAGTTATAACAACGAACAACGTCGTACAGTCGATCAAGCGCACAAGCTTAACAATCTCAGTTCCAAAGGGTTTAAGATTTACAGAAAAACACACTAACTAGTCACTACTAGTTGAAAAGAGTGGGCTCCTTGACGGGGGCTAATGCTCTTAACAACACACTGAGCCTTGACTAGGCACTAGCGTCCGACGACTCAAAAGGGGAACTGAACTTTATTTATTCTTAAACTACGGTAATAAAACCCTAAAACCTTGTCTGACTGAATTTGACATTGCGATCCTATAACAGAAGTCTTCTCCTTTATCCTTACCCGATAAGATGCGGTATTACCGTAAGTACATTGTAACAAGACCGTACCACTCAGATCCACATATCTGTACTTGGTGTGGACACACAACATATCCCGGTTGAATAACCGCCTTGTAACCCCGTTACTGGCTCATTCACGACTGTAATAAAGTGGAATTACAACATTGGAACATTACAATTTACAATTTAGCCGCTTTTTCAAATCTTTTTTCTGTTTATTGTGTGGGGACAAGGATCGTAAACAAAAATTAAAGCTTAGTAGAGGGTCCCATATTATCAACTTCCAAATCAAGATCTTTTGGAGTCGTTACTCACCCCCACCTTTTGTCAACCAGCCCCGACCCTTCATATTAAAGTCTCTGATTGGTCAAAAGGCTCGCAGTGGAAGTGTTTACAGGAGAAGAGGGTGTCTTTTGTGGACCATCAAGCAACCTTTTCGGCCGCTCCAAAACGTTTAAAGAATTTTATCGTTGGACAAGAGAAGCGTCGAGCTTGAAACCCCATTGCCACGTTTAAGCTAAGTGTTAAATGTGGAATCAAACTGCTGAAATTTCTTCAGACCATGTCGTCAGCGTGAATGAGCTCATCGTAATCGAGACTTACTGTTGGAGACCAGAACTAAAACCAGCGGCACCATTGCAATTTTTGTTACAAGGAGAATTAGCGTCTGCGTCGCCAAAGCTTCAAGAGGGATGCCTTAAAAACGTCTATTGTTGACCCTTGCGATGTTGCGAGCGCTGAGAGAAGTAGCTTCATTTTCACAACGGGCTCACAGCATAGGAGGTACATTGCCCAGCGATCTGGACGTAGTGCTTAGCAGTGATGAATAGAGATGACGCTATTGTAGTAATGGCTTGCCCGTGGCTCCTGAAATTTGCTCGTGATGAATACTCATACAAGTTTGCTCCAAGACTACCTGCGTTTGATCACTTTGCTCACGACTACGAAATTAATAATCTGCGCGGACGGCACCACAACTTTCCTTTTAGTACATTCCGCAATGGGCGCGTGATTGCGTCTGAAAGTGCGCGCAGCGGAGCTCAGTACTAAAGTGTGCTCAATCTAGGCTATTGCCACGTGGTTGACAAGGCAAGTGTGGTAGGGCATAGCGCTGCAGTCACGCGTCGTAGCTTAGATTGCTGGAGATATCGTTATCACATTTATTTTGTTTTCCCTACTTTGCAAAGCAACGAAGAGTTGCGTTTGTATGAATTCTGGATGAAACTCTTGTGTTTTGGCACCTGCAACGGGGCACCCTTTTTTTGGTGTCACGAAACTTCACGTACACCAGTACGTACAGAGGGATTCAATCTACTCAGCAACTATGTTGAGAAAAGGATTAAAAGAGGACTGTATTTAGCATAGTTAAGCTATCAATTTAACTTCAATCTTTATCGAACTAAATTAAACTGCGCCGTCGTATGACGAAAACCTGTTCACCACTCATTGCGCGCGTCCAGCAGCGATTGGTGGCAATCTTTGGTTAGTTTGCCTTATATCAACCAATCTTTGAGCAGCGCATGAATGTTATCAAAAGGGGATAATATTCCTTCAATATTATCCATCTCGGATAATATTGGCAGGATATTGTCATGCTAGACAATATCCCTATTGACACCGTTTGGTGTCACTATCAAGTACTGAGCTACCCCGTTACATCACCCTCCCCCCTAGACCATCAATCACCCGTTGATTTAATCAGAATTGATTGGACACGGTGACCTCCGTTGGATCACTCAGGAAAAGGGAGCACTTGTTGGTCAAATCCCATTCATTTGCCTATCCAACGCATGATTCGAAAACCAAGCGAGTTGCTTCTGCAGCAGCAAGAAAGGCGGCTACACGCATGCTTGCAGCCGTAGAGATTAATTCTCACACCTCAGCAGCAGGTGATTCGTCGCCTGTTGTTGTAAACAGTACACGTGGTGAGTCACCACGTGCGACAGATGCATCCGCTGCGTCTGCAGCGGTTACACCGAATAGTAATCTAGATGAGTCCGGAATAGAGTTCATCAAATCTGGCGAGTCGGATGATGCATCCGACCTGAAGGCGACACCTCACACCTCCGGATCACCCGGGGCGGGCACTGCAAGAGCCAGGTTGACTGGCTCTGGTCAACGTGGCGGCATCATGTCCGAGATCTTCGGATCGTGCGATTGTTCCGATGAATCCTCGCCTCACGCGAGTATAACTAGCGATAGGACACGTGAGAATGGTGGTAATGCACCTATACATCACCACGAGCGAAGTAACTCGAGGGATCGAGGTGTCACTGGTGTCAGTGCTCATGCTGGCACCAATAAAGTGGCCTCGGACCGAATTGTCCTGCGCCACGCTCCTCAAGTGGAGTCTCCTTGGATGCCGTCCTCCAAAGAGGTAGATTGAGTGGCCGGTATGACTACTGATCGGTATCAAATCATGTTTTTCGATTGCAGAAAGATTTGCCCACCTGATTCCAGCACGGAAACTATTTGTGCTGCAGAAGAGTTCTTTACCTATGCATTTTCAAACACCGGTTGTACAATGACAGCCTTGTTCGGGACGGAAAGGCATTGGTGCAAGGATGGAATGCCTTAATCAATTAAATTGAGTGCATTGGCCGTGAGGCCTGGCTCGGTAAACTTGATGCTGCTCGCATCAGAATTGTGAAGCGCAACCCAGTCAGGGTGCGATACAAGCTGCACCGGCTTTTTAGAGAGGCAGGAATGCCCCATCTCTCGTGGGTTGATTCGTGTCCAGATTGCCTAAACAACCTGAAACATCACTTTAAAGAGGCCTACCTCCCTAATGATCCCTACAGGAGGGCGCGCATCTCTTCCGAGATGGCCGTAGGGATGGACACTTTGCAATCCCTGTACTCGCGTTCGGGGAGGTCGTTTTCCGACGGCCCTTCTTCGAACGGAGCGGGTGGGTCTCGTCATATTGCTCGACAAGACCATGGATATCTACAATCAGCTGGGCACGAGGTCCCTAGCTGTCCCGCGCCGGTGGATAGCCACGCAAGCGGAAAGATACATCTTGATCGGACGCCATTCACGTCGCGATGGTTCAAATACACTCCACCAGAAAGCGTTGACCACCGCCAGAGTCCACCAAAGGATGTGGTGGTAACGGGAACACCTGCTCCGGCTCGAGGGTCGGATCAACTTGATGTTCAGGAGCTGAACCGTGTAACGGAGCACTTGCGAGATGATCTGGCTCGTGAACGGACTCGGCGTTATGGACTCCATGATCTTGTAAAGGATAATTACAATTCCCTAACGCACGATCGTTTGGATGATCGTGCTGCGTTTGCGTTCGCACAACTTGAGAACGAACGTTCGACTCGTTCTCGTCGTGACGAGCTGTCTGTAGCTCGTCGAGACATCGCTGAACTGCGTGAGCAGGTCGCTTCGCTAGTCGACCAGACTGGCTCGTCGAAACGGGAACACTCGAAGGTGGTCTCGGCTCTCGACCGCGGAGGTGTTCTCCGCCTCTCAAAACTGCCTCGTTCTGATAGTACGGGCAAGGACGTCCAACGTAAAACGTAGGATGCGCACGCATCTTACGGGGAAGTTCAATCGTGTGTGCGTTGCCCAATCGTGTGTGCGTTGCCTTCGGCGCAACACACGAAATGGACCGATGTACTTGGGCAGTATTTACTGCTGCCTATGTTTGGCACTGTGTCTTTCGGTAGATTTACTGTAGACAGTAAAACTAGGTCTCTTTCATTCACTGAAAGAACATTTGCTCTTCCGTGTTTGTCTGCCTTTCTCCTCTGTCTATCTAGTACATCTGCAAAATAGTCTTGAACTAAGCGGACAACCGCTTCGCGAGTCAGCAGAAAATCCTCTGCTGACTTATCCTTGTTAACGGAAGTGCGCTTCATGTACACTGCTGAAAGAACGTTGGCTTCACGAGTGGGGGCATCATCGTCCTCACTGTGGCAGTCATTGGCGATGCCCATTGGCGATGCTGAATATACCAGCATCGTCGTCATCATCATCATTGATGTCGATCGCATCGACATCGGCATCCATCACGTCGACACCATTTTTGACGGGTGATGAGCAAGAACCAGATCGGCTTTTGTGCGAGCGAACCCCTTCCCTAAACAAGAGTCACACTTTAATAAGGCGGGTAAACGTGGATGGCGTAGGCCATTCACGAAGAACGGTGTACGCGTCATCGACCCACGCATCGAGTTGTTGATGGAGAATTCCGCCATCGGCAAGAACTAACTCCAAATCGTAAACGAGTGGACACACCCTCGAAGTATCTCTTCGAGGACGCGGTTGAAGCGTTCCGTCCGACCATCTGTTTCTGGATGGTCAGAAGTTGACATCGTCAAACGTGTTCCAAGTGAACGGAACACGGATTGTCAGAACTCCGCTGTGAAGCGAAGGTCCCTATCAGACACGAGTTCATAGGGTAACTCGTGAAGTCGGAAGATTGTATAGATGAAGACCCTCGCACAGCCCTGGGCTGTGATTGACTCCGGTACAGCAACAAGATGTATTATCGTGCTGATACGATCAACAAACAGTAGAGTACTAGTATTCTTGTGAGCGTCTTTGGGAAACCCAAAGACGAAGTCCATCGATACGGACTGCCAACACTCTACCGAAACCGTGAGAGGCTGCAAGGGTGCGCGGGATGAGTTTATTCTTCATTCGCTGGCAAACTTCGCAAGCGCGAAAATGTTTGCGCACAAACTCATACTGGCGGGTCCAGTAGAAGTCACGACTCACCATGAGGTGAGTCTTATCTCTACCGCGATGCTCACTTGTTGTGGCATCGTGACACTCATGCATGATGCGCAATCGCAAATCATCATGAGTGGGAACGACGACACAAAGTGTGTTGCCAGTGACTGCCTTATAGTACAGCAGTCCACCACGAACCGAATTTCGTTCGGTTGAAGAGCGGTGTTGATACGACAAGCTTTTCAATGCTTGACTGCATGGATTGGCTACATAATCTATCAAACGCAGAAGAGACTCATCTTCTTCGTATGCTCTTTGCACGTCGTCGAGCAAATTCGACGACGGAACACTCACTGTTAGTGTCGCAACAGTGGGATCACCCCTATTGTTGCGTTGAGCAGTCGTCTCGAAATCGAGCCAACGCTAAAGAGCATCAGCGATGACATTAAGTCGTCCTGGTTTGTACTCGACGGAGAAGTTGTACTCCGCGAAGAAATACAGCCACCTCGCCATACGTTGCGAGAGGTGTGGACTGTATACGGCCGTGCGTAACGACGCATGATCGGTATAAAAGATGAGGGGCCTATCTTCTAAGAGATACACCCGAATCTTATCCAGTGCATATTTCATGGCAAGGATTTCCTGTCATGCACTAGGTAATTACGCTCAGCTGCTTGCAGCTGACGTGACAGATCACAGACGACGCGCTCCACGCCGTCTGAGTCGTACTGCATTAACGCGCAGCCGATTGCTAAATTGTCTGCGTCACAGACCCTATGGAATGGTCCATCCTGGTCTGCAATCGCCAACACAGGCGATTGCACCAAGCTTCACATGATGCCTTCAAAAGAGTGCTGACACTCAGCGCTCCATGACCACCTCTCGTTTCTCTTCAGTAGACGAGAGAGATGTTCGGTCATCTCGGCTTCGTTGCGCGAGCACTTGTGCAAGTGCACCGCTAAGCCAAAACACTTTCGAAGTCCCTTGACGTCGACTGGCACAGGCCAGTCGCTAATCACCTTAATCTTTTGCGGATCAGCGCGTACACCGTTTTTCACCGCGATGCAGCCAAGAAGCGGTATTCCGCTCGCTGCGAATAAACACTTCTTGAAGTTCGCAAACAACTGATGCTCTCGCATTAGTGCAAGAACCTTCCCAACGTGGATTCTATGAACCTTCAAGTCGTATTTCCATCCACAGGCCGGCTATGGACAAATACATCGTCGAACTAAGTCGGTGCAAAATCTCGCACCGATCGCAACAGATTTGTAGCACATCTGTTTAATTGCAGGGGCGTTAATTAGCCCACGTGGCATCACTAGCCACTCCCAGAGCATACCACTGGGGGTGCTTACTGCTGTGTAAGGGATGTACCGTTCACGCATGAGGATCTATTAGAATCCCTCCATCAAATCCGTGGACGAAAAGATGGTACTTTTTTGCCATCCCATCCATGATGACGTCCTTCCTTGGGATCGGCATTTGAGCCGGTACCGTTGCAGCGTTCAATCTGTTAAACTCGTGAACTACCCGCCACCCTCCTGTGGCCTTTCACACACAGAAGGTCGGAAAGCTGTGTGGGGATGTTGATTCCCTCAAATTTCCCGCAGCCAAGCGATCGGCAAAGAACTTATCGATCGCTAGTGCTTGTTCACGAGGCAGTGGCCACTGCTTCATGACACAGTATTTGAACCGGGTTTCAGTTCGATCTCATGTCAAGTTCTTTTATCCTTAGGCAGCTCGCACGGCAAGAATTCAAGGACAACCGTCCATGAATTCGATCAAATCCTTTTACAAAGGACTTGCCTGAAGCACCTCCCAAGATTGAGAATTGTATCGCTCAATCTGGGTATTCTCATCGAGGACACACTCTTGCACTGGTGAGCTAATGAGAACTACTTCGTTCAAAGTAAGCACTTGTGCCGACCGTACATCGGCGACGTACTCGTCCTCTGTGACAAGTAAACCAATCTGATTGATCTTGTCACTCGCAGATCTCGAAAAAATCTTTTAGATTATAGCTTTGGCAGCTTGTTTACCTCCAAAGATGAATTCGGTTGTGAAATCCGATCTAGTGTACAAGCGCCTACACTTGATCTGTCAATCACCTAGACATTTACTATCTCGGTTCATTCCGGAGCAGGCACATCCGCAGGTTTTGAGGAAACACGCCGTCAGCATAACTCTCTCGGGAGTTATCACTCTCAGGAACGCTCAAACTTTCTTCAATTACGTGTACTGACTGTGGGTGTATTACCACAGTCACGTCCTCTTCGATCGACTCTCTTTCAGTCGATCGGGCTTGCTCTACGATCGACTCTCTGATAGTCGACCTCGCTTCAACGTGTTGTCCATCCTGAACAACACTAATCTTTCTTCTCGGATGCAGCCTTCTTGGTGTGCATCCGTGTTCCTGTCCACTTGATCTCTTCGAGTGGTGAACCTTTGGCGCAGCCTGTGTCTCTTCACAGGTACCAGAAGCTGTTTCTACATTGTCGTGGCCTTCTACACTGCGATCTTGCGCAGTTGTACTAACGACCGTACCCCAATTGAGGATATCGCACTCACTCGTAGTACATCCACACGCTTGTGGACGCTCCAAGACGTTCATCATATGGCCATCTGATGAACAAACGGCAGAAATCTTCACGGATCGATGCTGCCAGCCGATACATGGCTGGTATTCTCTAAGTCTAGGTAGACCGAGGATGACATCGAATTCGTCATCTAAATCAAGTATGATGAAGTCATCGTCGTACTGCTTTTCTTCTAGCGTGTAGTGGATTTTTTTTTCTACTACACGTTTGTTCACTGTTCGGAAGCGCCTGTAGAAAGGCACGCCGTCATCCTCGCTGGAGGGAACTTTCGCTCAACTTAGTTGAGCCTACTATCCTCTAGCAACTGGTGTCGAATAAAACTGTTCGACACCCTCCAGTCAACTAGGGCGCGAAGTGACATTCCACTAGTCACTTCCATCTTCAAAGTGATGAGGGACACCTCATCATTAGGGGTAGAACACATAGCGACTGTGCATTGAAAATAAGCTTCGTCAAGAGACTTGCAAATTCTCTTGACGTTGCTGGACCAGCAATGGTCTCCGCCTTTACTGACCCTGACCGTTTTTTGGCGATCCGATTTTTTGTCGCGGCTTAGCGACATGGTCGGACCCACGCCTTGTACCTTTCCTTGGCCAGCGGCGGTCATCACGTCCTGTCTTTGGACGTGATGCGGTGCTTGGAAATATACATGCATTAGCAAAGTGTCCGATCTTCCTAAAGCAATGGCATCTTGCCGATCGCTTGTGACTCAGAGAGCGAGATTTATTGCTCTCGATGTAACAGAGGTCCATTGGTTCGGGACCTCCTGTTTCCTGTCGTCGCGTCGGACGATAGTTTGAAGAGTTAGCCTGAGACTGTCTCAGGATGAAGTCTTCTTGCTCCGCATACGCTATCGCCTTTTCCAGCGTATGGAAGTCCTGTTGGAACATGTAGCTCTTCACCGGTCCGTCTACAATGCCGTAGATGAACACGTTGATGAGTTTGTGCTCATCAACAGGTTTTTCCGTAACTCTACTCGCAAGGTAGCGCAGGTGCTGTGCGTAAGCGTGCACGTCACGCTTAACTTGCTTGAGCCTCAAGAGTGTAGATTGTGCTCTGAACTCGGCTCTCGGCGGCTCAAACGTCTCTTTGAGCCGAGACTTCACGATCTTCAACAATTCAAACACGTTTGGATCGTGAAGCTTGAGCCCTAAGGCCCAAGTCTTTGCTCGTCCCGTCAAATTTGACAGGGCGAAGGTGACTTGCCTATCGTCACCCTCGATATGAAGGGCTCTGATGGCGTCGTCTAACTCGACGAACCATCTCAAATGGGTATCTTTATCGGTTCCCTTGTACCTTGAGATATCAATCTTCAAGGTTTCGGGTCGACACGTGTGCGTCGGCCCGCCCATCGACTAATGAGAGACTTGATGTTGTAGAAAGGCTATCTTCTTTTTATCGACGGCAAGTTCCCCCTGTAGGAACGTGTTGATAGCAGCATGTTGCTGGTCTCTGCTTGGAGACTCCAACACACCACTGATGGCGGTTTCGCCCATATGAACACTCACGCGGCCGACTACCTCCCATTCTGAGTCACTCAGATGGGGGTAGACTTCACGTGTGACGTGAAAGCTGTCGTCTTCTACTTCCAACATGTTCATGTTGGAGGGACACTAAGTAGTCGTTGGACGGACTACAAAGTGTTACCAGGTGTAACGGGGCACCCTTTGTCTGGTGTCACGAAACTTCACGTACACTAGTACGTGCAGAGAGAGCTAATCTACTCAACAACTAAGCTGAGCGAAGGGTAAGAAGAGGACTGTATTTAGCATAGTTAAGCTATCAATTTAACTTCAATCTTTATCTAACTATATCACACTACGTCGTCGTATGACGACAACCTGCTCACCACTCATTAAGCGCGTCCAGCAGCGATTAGTGGCAATCTTTGGTTAGTTTGTCTTATATCAACCAATCTTTGAGCAGCGCATGAATGTTGTCAAAAGGGGATAATACTCCTTCAACATTATCCATCTCGGATAAAATTGGCAGGATATTGTCATGCTAGACAATATTCCTATTGACACCGTTTGGTGTCGATATCATGTAACGGGCTACCCCGTTACAGCACCTCTCAAGCCGTTCGCCTACTCCGGCTTGTCGTTTACCGCGGGTATCTTTGTGCCTAATTCAAATCTTCCGTGGACGTGCGGCACATTTTGCGGATCAATGGATCAGTACGTACATTGGGATATTTGTTTCTTGCTCGTATTCCGTTGGCAAGGTCCACTTTCTGTACGATGAAAGACAAGTGGCATCGATTTCGAGCCTGCCGTAGATGGAGTTAAACTCGTCCGCGTCTGGTCAAGTGACAAAGAATGCGCGATAGCTGTTACCAGCATTTTTTACAATGCGACCGAGACGAGTGAGATGGACAGTGACGACACGCAATAGCACGTCGTGGTTTCCGCTATCTGCCAGCTCTATGGTTTGTCTGGCCTGTTGATTCAGTCGCACTACCTTCAGTCTTAAAAGGTATCGGATTTGCAAGTGTCCGTTGAAGGAGATGTGATTTCTTCACACATTAATCGGTTATCATTCGTTTCTGCCGTATCGAAGAGCACGGCATTCGTCACTTGTCAACAATAAAGGATTTGTGTTCACTACTTCGGATGCCTACCCTACACTACTTTTGCTTTACAGATTTGTTATGCTTCAGGAAGACATATCATTGCCGCCGGCAGGTTTTATGTTTACTGCGATATCTTTTGGTTCTGATGAGGCGTTGGTCCTGCTCGCTTCTGGTCATGAAGACGGCACATTGTAGCTTTAGATGCTTCCAAATACCAGCACTTCCGTGGCCTTTTTAACGAATGTGTCTCAACTGTTGGAGTCTCTTCAAAGGTTAAGCGTGTCACGGGCACAGTGCAACATGCTTTTAAAAATTAGCCATGTCAACATTCAACGATGCCAAAACCGTGACAAGCACAGCCCGCGACATCGCTGGCGAAGCGATTGGCGAGGGCAAAGTCATCATGCAAAGCATATCCTCGCACTTGCACAAGACATAAGGTTCAGGTGCCCTTTCCGGTAAGCTAAGCAGGAACTCTGCGTCTTTTTTGATATTCGTCGTACCACGAGTAATGGTTTCGTCTTTGCTTTTACACGAGCCCAGCTCATTTGTCAATCAAGCTATGTTCCGTACACTAACTTACTTTCTACCACTGCGCTCAAACTGCGGCTTCTTTCGCAGTTCTCGGGCAGCGCGTGATAACGCAGGAGACAAACCTGGTGTGGTGTCGAGGTCCGGCGAAGGCACATGAGGCTCAAAGGACTGCGACACAATCATGAAGACCACTAGCATCACGAGCACGGGCAATGCCATCATGTAGTAAACATACTTGAGGCCGTCGTTGAGTTCGCTTGTGATCCAAAAGGAGAAGATGATGTTGAGTGCACCCGCCACAATGAAGCCCAGTGTTGTCGTCAACAGCTTAAGCGCTTGGCACACGCTCTTGATGGACTCGGGGACTTCGGACTAAAACAGATCGTACATTGAATAAATCAGAATAATTGATCAGATCTACGTTAAAGGTAGTTTTACGGTCGACAGTAAATCTTAAAGTCCACAATTTGTAAAATTTTGGCAGACAACGTAGCCCTCAAGCTGCGCAAGTTGCTGAGGGGTGCAAGTCTGCTCATTGTGGTTTAATAGTAAGGTGGTTGAACTGGAAGTGCAAGGTCGTTGTTCTGAAAGTGTTGAACAATTAAGTTTTGAGTTGCCTTCTGACCAACTTTAGACTCTAATTTGAGGGGGTGGGGGCTGGTTAACGAATAGGTGGAGGATGAAGAACGAATCTCTATCCTTGATTTCCCCTTCCGTTGTACAGATCGTGTCGAGCGCGCGAAATGCTTGTCGTATTGTGTTTATAAGGGACAAATTCTACTGCATAAGGTCAACTAAACAACGACACGAACATGCAAAAACGTGAACGAACGGTGGCATTACGCATGGCCAAAAACTTGTTGTGCCATACTGAATCTCATCATAAGGCTATGTACTACCATCTGTTAAGTCTTCGCATGGGTCAGAGGTCGGGCGTCCACGAAAGGCCCAATGTGTGCTAAGCTGGTCGATCGCACGTTCGGAATTCGACACGACACTCGCTCTCCAAATACAAATGGTGGTCGCTGTGTCGAAATGCGAGCATCCAAACGGCAAACTGGGGAGAATTTAAGACTTCTGAAGAATGGAGAATGACCATAACTCACTTTGACCAACAAAGCACACGACCAGTGAACCGAATTGATCGTCATCATCTTCAACATGCGTGTTCCGTCTATCTGCCTCTTCTTTTCTGCTGTTGCGATTGCTGAAGCTACTGCCGGCACAAGCCACCCCGCCGTGCAGCCGATTCTCTTCGCTGCAACTTGGACGCACGAGACGACCAACGGTATCAACACGTTCAAGCTCAACACGGCCGATGGGACTCTCACGCCGTACGGCATTACGCCACTCTCTTTTGCCGAAAAGGGACTGAACCCGACGTACGTCCAGGGCTCGACCAGAAAGTTCTCGAAGGGGAAGCGTGTCATTTACGCTCTCAATCGAGGCTCGGACAGTGGGTACGTGTCCGCGATGACGTTGCAATCGGACGGCACACTGAAGGTCATGAACACGCAGAGAATGAAGGGTGCATCCCCTGCCCACATTGCTCTGAGCTCGAGCGAAGACTTCTTGTCGGTTGCCAACTACGCCGGTAGCCTCTCTTTGTTCCCACTCAATGCCAACGGCTCTATCGGTGGCGAGACGTTTTACCAGAACTTTCCGGTTGGTAGCAAGGTTGTGAAGGACGCTCAAGCCACTGGCCACATCCATAGTACCATGTGGCTACCTGATTCGAAGCATGTCATTGCTGCTAACTTGGGAAGTGATGAGCTCCTTCAGTACGAGTTGGACACAACCAAGAAGACATTGAAGAGCTTAAAGGTTGTCCGCCGTCCTCCGGGGTCGGGACCCCGCCACTTGGCCTTCCACCCGAGCGGGGAATTCGCGTACGTTACGAACGAGCTGTCTAACACCGTTGGTGTGTACGCGGTCGACAAGGGGACCGCGTTGCTGTCGAGCAAGCCTTTGCAGAGCGTCACGACGCTGCCTACCGGTTTCACGAACAAGAGCACAGCTGCTGATATTGATTTCTCAAGCAACGGAAACTTTCTCTATGTGTCGAACCGCGGCCACGACTCGATTGTCTCGTACAAGGTCAATGCGGACGGTACGCTGAAGGCTTTGAAGTGGGAGAGCTCGCGCGGCTTGACGCCCCGCGGCTTTACGATTTACGGAGACTGGCTCATTGTGGCGAACCAAGACTCAGACGACATGCAAGTGTTCAAGGTGGACGGCAAGACGGGTGCCCTGAAGCACACTGGCAAGCCGTACAAGATCGACGGGGCGATGAGCCTCTACGTAGGGGAATACTAGACGAAGTAGCCGCAATGGCTACCAGTCCATTGATGTAATGTTCTTTTTTGGTGGGAGACCGTTGTAGTCATTTAGCTTTGCTACTCAACCAAGTCAGTATACGTTCGAGTGAAATCTGCAATGTCGTACCCAACTTGCTGGCAACCCGTTAGGGTGGCCGCGTGTAAGTCCGCACTGCAGTACAGGTGCTACTTTCGTCTCGGTAGTCAGGTTTTTTGGAAGCAAGACTGATCGAAATTTGGTATAAATATTTTTTGGAAGTAAACGGTCGATTTAATCCCAAAGATTACGCGGATCGACAAATGATTGATCCAGGACTTGTACTATGCGTTGAGTTCAAATTCACTATTGGCGAGAGCATCGGCTATCAGATTCGTGATTCGATAATGAGACCGACTCGTGATCTAGAGTCGTCAGCGAAGCGAAGAATTGTCCGTATACATCGTTTAGGCTGTGTGTGCATGCAGTCGCTTGCGGCGTTTCATAATGCGTTGCAAAGTGAGTCTGCTATCTCTGGCGACTGCATACAAGCGAGCTGATACTGTAAAGCCTTCCTAGACCATCGAGTAGTTCTTGATATTTCGCTACGCAAATTCGTTTGGAAGCGCAATGCATGAGTAATGCTAGCCATCCAGGAGGACGATCGCTTTCTCGTTGTCAAATTTTGATGATGAAAGGACCTGCGCCACTAAGCTCGAGGGTTTTTCCTGACACCCCATCAAAAATAAAAAAACTGCGTCCGACCGACCTGTACGATGTTGCTATGCATTATTTACCCTCGATCCACTATAAAATAAATGGGCACATTCGCTGTGACTACTATTTAACATAAGACAGCTTCGCACACAGCCAATTCACGCCAATGGTCATTTTGAAGCTTGAATTGACAAGGTACGCACCTACCAAATTGCGTTGCGTTAGAGTGTTGATACCTAGCAAATTCAATTGGTGCCTCCACTGACTTGACAAGTCGCTACTTAGAATAGAGAATTGTGTCGGCGTTGGTGGAGAGTACGAAAGATAAGATCGGTCTCAATCACAAGCAGCCGAACCGTCTCTGTGTATGCTATGGCACCGGGCATTTATGCACATGCTGCAGTCATCTGTTTTAGGCCACTCTTTCGAGCTTTTTTCGAAGCTTACCCTGTTGTGGGTGTGGGAAAGCGTAGCAGCGTGGCATCAGCTGGAACGCTCTGGCAAACAAATATTTACACACGTTGGAAGCATTTCGGTTTTCACCGTTATAATACTATCTCAAGATATTTAATCCCTTGGCGTGGTCAACGTCAATTGACCGCCAATGTACCTTAGTCGGCGGTCGTGCCAAACCAGTCATTCGCTGAACCCTCCATGACAACAGCAGCGTCACTGTGCACCAAGAGAGGTTTGTACCTTGTGATGGATTATGCTTTTTAGTGCATGTGCTCGATTCCAACCTCGTGGAGACGCATTTGTATTCATTGTAAAACTATTTTGTACCTGGTCGATGACCACGTCCGCACTACCATCGATTGCGCAACTCGTATTGACGGAGCTTGGACTTAACGGCTGGAGCCGGAATGCACATTCTTCATCCGTTTTATCTCGTAATGTATGATTATTATTGCTGCATCACTTATCTGAGTGCTGAGGAGTAAAAGCTCTGCAAGCAGATTCTTACACGGCGTTCTCCATCCTTCTTACACGGCGTTCGGCGTCTCCATCCTTCCTCATTGTACTACAATTTTTCTCGATCTTCATAAAACAACACTATTAGTCACGCGGGCTGTGTGGCGTTTAGAACACCGCGACGCGAGACGAGACACAATGAAAGATGGTGCGCAGTGTGCGGGTACGACTATTCATCGTGGGCACAAAAATATGCCGTCATCATTACCCTTTCCAGCCTAATCGGACCACCTCAATCTTCTTGGCCATTCACGCTGAGATGTATTGTAAGACCCAATTTGACAAGCACGAAGGGACGCTTTCACTCCGATAATCCCATCCGACTTTGCATCGACCACACCTCTGTTGATCTGTAAACTGGAATTTTTGACGACACACCACAACATTTGTAATGATGCCTTACGAAGATTCTGTCAATTGATCGAGTAGTAGCGAAACGGATAACCCACGAGACAAAGTCCCTCTCTATCTGATCTAATTTCTCTGTCCAGAACCGAACGGCTGGCATGGAGATTTTGACCTGGTGCTTTTTTTCAGTGAGGTGCTAGATATGAGTAAGTCGCTGTGGACAAGCATTTATATCGCGTGTCACGATCTGTTGAAGTCGGTAAGGTCGTCGTCACTCGTGTGTTCACCATTCGGTATTAAAGCGATGGGAGCTACGATTATCTACAGTTAGTTAATGTCTGCTCTAACCGGCTTACACGACAGTGTACCTACCACATGGACGGCTGTCGCGGTAATGTAGGGCTCCCAAAAAAAATATCAAGTGCGATAATCTTTCGCTACAGTCGCGTCTATTTATTTAGCGAGGTCAATTAAGATGTGATAACTACATTCGCGTCTCAACATTCCCTTTCCGACGAGAATGGCGTGTTTATAAATTATCTTGATCCGTGTGCCTACAACGAGCATTTACATGTGATCGCAAGCAGTTTTTTGTCGATTGGCCATCCGCCTCGTAAACCGGGCGAGTTTGTTACCTGTAATTAACCTTGAAACTTGCTAAACAGAACAAAACTATAAAGGTTGACAAAGGTTTCGAATGTTACCAGAAGGGGTACATTCAGCAAAAATCACCAATTGGCTAATCTGGGTCATCATCTCAGCCAGCTCTAGCAGTCCAATCAACGATGGACACGCGCAAGGGGTGATGAGCAAGATTTGAGCATGCTTTGTTGTAAAAAATAATTAAGCTTAGACTGAAACGTAGGTAAATAATAAGGATTTAATTATTATAAATACAAGTTAACTTTTACGAGCAACTAGTCAGTTCCGAACTCAGCCGAATTACAGAGGTATCGAGGCACTAAGCACGCTGTTGTCAGTGGTAGTAGCTCCACAATGGCTGTCTAGCGTGTTGCTCCGGTACCCGTTACTCCTGGTAGAACTATGTGGTCCGTCCGAAGACCACAAAACCCGTTCGACACGAACATGTGGGACGATAAATACGACGAAATCTTACAACCCGAGAAAGCTACTATTATATGAGTGTTGTCAGATGGAATTCTATGGAACGAATGATCTCGCCCGTTGTCGAAGAAGCTGTCTGGTCATTGCTATTATAAAGGAAAATGTAATGGGGCTATGGCACCTTCGTACTGGATGGCCAGTACGGAGTTAACCTTCACTGACAACAGTGAAGGTCAGTGCCCTGCTACCTCTGATCAATGCACAGAGGAAGGGTAAACGACCAAGACCAAGACTTAGTTCGTAGGAAACTTAAAACTGTTTTTAATATTATGAAGTCCCTCATCTACTTGTTCTTGTTTGACCTCACTTAATTATGTTGAATACAACTAAGCGTATGATGACGTCTACCCACCATCCATTGGGCGCGTCTGGTGGTGATTGATGGATTGATATAATCACAGTATCAACTAATGAGAAGACCTTTCGGTCAATTCAACAACATCACTGTTCGTTCGTGATAATGATTAAAGAAGCATTGAATGTAATATTTCTCTGTTACCATTTGACAGAATGGTGACCTCGCATAACGAGCCATCCCGTGACATCACCCCACTTAACTGATAGTCACCGTGTGACTATTAAATCTTGATGGCCACTTGTAAGACACCGATGGGACATAAGCACTTCACTGGTCAGATCCATTCATAACTGACCTTGCCTCGCAGAGTTAACATGTCTATGCGGGGCAGTCTAAAGACGACACAGCGTGCTGCTATGTCAGCCTCTGTGGCAGAAGATTCGTCGTCTGCTCGTTGTTCCCTACCTGCATCACATATTACTGCAGGCGCATGTGGTATCGCACTACGTGCACGTGATGACTCCGAAGTGGAGGTCATCTACTATGGCGAGTCAGAAACGTCTGACTCGGGAAAGGGTTCAGAGGCATGTTGATCACCGGCGGTGCCTCGTCATTCACTTAAGGAACTGTAATACGAACGGGCTCGTGAGTTGTATCACAGTCAGTTCGGCAGTGATGATAAATATAGTGGTGAGAAAAACTACACATCGCCACTGTCAATTCGTGCATCTCCACATGAGCGTGTTGACGATGGCGCGAGACGTCGTCGTTCTGAGAGCCGTGGTACCAAACAATTTACCATGTTGAAGCGTGATAAGCCTGAGCCGTGGCGATTGCCCGAGCAGCTCATTAATAGCTTATCTCACGAGACAAGCCAACATTATCGAATGTGTAACGGGGTGAATCGTTACATAACAATTTATAAGAAATTGTTAATAGAATATAACTATAAGAGTTATATTCTCAGAATATTGTCATAAGGACAATATTCTGTAGCACTTACGAGTAGTTCCTGATTGGTTGATATAGGCCATTATATCAACCAACAAAGACGCGCCACGACAGACGCACGCAATGAGTGGTGAGCAGATAACTGATTTACACATTTGTATTTAGACATAGTTAGATGAAGATAAATAGTGATTTATTGCAGACATTAACTATTATAAATACAGTTCTACTTTTTACTTTAACCAAGTACTCGCTTCTTCTTACCGTCTTCCTCTGCACGTACGAGTGTACGTGAAGTTACGAGGCACCGCCTTATTCTGTCATCAGAATAAGTAGCTTGTACTGTCACCAGTACAAGCTTCAGGGTGCCCCGTTACACCTGGTAGCACTTCGTAGTCCGTCCAAGGACCGCGTTCACATCCAACATGAATATGTTGGATGATGAAGATGACCAAAGCTTTCACGCTACTCGTGACGGCTACTCCCATTTGAGCGATGTCGAATGGGATGCGGTTGAACGGATGGGTTCAACCATGGGCATCCATGCTATTAGCGTCATGCTAGAGGCTCTCAATAGAGATGCCCAACATGCTACTATCGCCAAGTTCATTCAAAATGAACTTGACGCAGAACGCGAGAAAGTAGCCTTGCTTCACCAACAAGGTTCTCAACAAGCAGAGTTGTTGAGAGAACAGGGTGCTCAACAGTTTGAACTGTTGAGACAGCAGCAGGCTGCTGCTGGTGGGTCGATGCACTCGCGTCGACCCGAAACCTTGAAGACTGACATCTCCAAGTATAGGGGAGTCGAAGAGGACTCCCTCTTGAGATGGTTCGTCGAATTGGATGACGCCATAAGGGCGCGTCGCATCGACGACGGGGATATGCAAGTTGCATTTGCCCTATCAAATCTGGCAGGGCGTGCCAAGACTTGGGCACTGGGGCTCAAGTTGCACGACCCGTATGCGTTTGGGTCGTTGGAAGTCTTCAAGTCGCGGCTCAGACAAACGTTTGAATCGCCTAGAGCTGAGTTCAGAGCTCGAACCAAACTCTTAAAGCTCAAGCAAGGTAAGCGTGATGTACACGCTTACGCGCAACATATACGACATCTTACGAGTTGTATAAGTTCCAATTCTGTGGATGAACACACGTTGGTTTCGGTGTTCATGCAGGGTCTTGCGGATGGTCCCGTCAAGACTCACCTGTTCCGGCTTGAACTAGATTCACTGGAACAAGCCATTTCCATTGCGGAACAGGAAGACTTCAGTCTGAGACAGGCTCGCGCCAGCTCGACATCATATCGTCAACCGAGACGATATGACAACGGAGGTCCAGAGCCGATGGAACTCTGTTATGTAAAGAGCGAGAAGGCTCGCTCTACAGGCTACAAGAAGTTGCAGAGATGCAACAGATGTCAAAAGACAGGACACTACGCTTACGAGTGTAGTGCACCTCGTCCAGTGTCTCGCGACACTGGGTGTAGTGACCTTCCACCCATGAGAAAGGGGCAGGGACGCGGGTCCGCTGTTGGTGCAAAGACGCAACAACGGGATGGACCGTCAAAAAACGGACAGGATCAGTAGGTGCGGAGCACCCTCCTGGTCCAGCAACGTCAAGAGAATTTGTAGGTCTCTTGATGAAGGTTGCTCCCAACACACAAACGTTGTGCGTTGCTGCTCTAGGTAATGAGGTCTCACTCATTACCTTGAAACTCGAAGTGACGAATAAGTTGTCCCTTCGAGCTCTAGTCGATTGTGGGGCGTCCAACAATTTTGTGCGACGCCAATCGCTAGAAGATGGTCACTTTAAGTTCAGTGAATGTGACACACCTCCTACGAGGATGACGGTACGTCTTGCGACAGGCGCATCCGTAACCGTCATGAAGCGTATAGTGAAGATCCACTATACGCTAGAAGATACCCAATATGACGATGACTTTATCGTATTGGATTTGGATGACAAATTTGATGTCATCCTTGAAATACCGTGGCTCAGAAGGTACGAACCACGGGTAAACTGGCAACATCGAACAGTAACGATGCCTGCCGCTTGTTCATCAGATTGCCATCTGATGAACGTTTTGGAGCGTCCACAAGCGTGCAGATGTACTACGAGTGAGTGCGATGGCCTTACTTGTGGTACGGTCGTTAGTACGACTGCACAAAACCTGAGTGTATTAAACGGTTACACTTCGGAGCAAAGCTCCGGCGGCTGTGAGGAAACACAGGCTGCGCCGAAGGTCCCCCACTCGAATAAGTCGAGTGGACTGGGACAAAGATGTATCCCTAGCGGGGAACATCTAGAAGAGAAACAATCGATCGCTCAGGTTAAGCGAAACGATAATCCTAGATCGACTGGAGAGTCTTTTGTTGAGAATCTCGCTGTGCTTGCGCAACCACGGCTAGAGGAAGTTAAGGGAATAAGTCCCAATATTACAGATACGGCGGAAATAAGTTCCCCGAAACCCGCGGGAATAAGTCCCCGGGAAGCCGAAGGAATAAGTCCTTCGAGGCCTGAGGGAATAAGTCCCCAGGAAATGACAGAGACATTGAATGTCATAGTCAATAACGGATCAAGTGTAGGCGCTTATACACTTGATCTGATTGCGCCTCCGAAGTTGACTTCGGAGATCACTCAGTTGCCAACGCTCGAACTTAAAATGTTCTTGCGTGATCTGCGTAGTGGCAAAGTCAAGCAGATCTGCGTACTCGTCGCTGACGACGAGTGTGTAGCCGACATAAGGTCAGCAACAGTGTTTACTGAGAACGAGAGAGTTCTCAGTAGTTCATCTATGGACGAGAGTTTCCTAGATGAAAAGACACGAGTTGAGCGATATGACTCCCAATCGTGGGAATCGCTCAAGACAAATCCTCTCTATGCAGATTTGGTTGAATTCAAGGATGTATTCCCTGAAACTGTTCCGTGCGAATTACCGAAGGATAAAGGTATTCGACACGAGGTCGACCTTAAACCAGGCTCGAAGTACTGTATCATGAAGCAGTGGCCACTGCCTCGTGAACAAGTACTTGCGATCGACAAGTTCTTTGCCGATCGTTTAGCTGCGGGCCATGTGAGGGAATCAACTTTCCCACATAGCTCTCCGACCTTCTGTGTGCGAAAAGCAACAGGAGGGTGGCGGATAGTGCATGCATTTAACAAGTTGAATGCTGCAACGGTACCGGCTCAGACGCCGATACCAAGGAAGGACGTAATCATTGATGGTATGTCAAAGAGTGCCATCTTTTCGTCCATGGATTTGATGGATGGCTTCTATCAAATCCTTATGCGAGAAAGGGATATACCCTATACCGCAGTGAGCACGCCTAGCGGCATGCTCTGGGAATGTCTAGTAATGCCACAAGGGCTTAGTAATGCCCCTGCCACGTTCAACAGATGTGTATCACATCTGTTGAGACCAGTACGAGAATTCGCGCCGAGTTATTTCGATGACGTATTCATCCATAGTCGGGCTATGGATGGAAAGTCGGACGTTGAGGTCCACAGGTACCACGTCCGACAGGTTCTTACAATCATGCGAAAGCATCAATTGTATGCAAACCTCAAGAAGTGTATAGTTGCAGCAAGCGAAATACCACTTCTTGAGTGCATCGTTGGTAAGAACGGTGTACGTCCTGATCCCGAAAAGATCAAGGCGATCACCGACTGGCCTGTGCCGGTTGATGTCAAAGGTCTTCGAAAGTTCCTTGGGCTAGCGGCGTATTTGCATAAGTATTCACGCAATTACGCCGAGATGACTGTGCACCTCTCTCGTTTGTTGAAAAAGAACGAGAGGTGGTTATGGAACGCTGAATGTCAGCGCTCCTTTGATGGTATCAAGCAGAGCTTGATACAATCCCCAGTCCTAGCAATAGCCGATCAGGACAGGCCATTTCATGTGGTCTGTGATGCCAGCGATTTCGCAATCGGCTGTGCATTAATGCAGTACGATCTTGAAGGCGTTGAACGCGTCGTCTGCTATCAGTCGCGTCAGCTGCAACCAGCTGAGCGGAACTATCCAGTGACAAGGAACTCCTTGCCATGAAGTATGCACTCGCGAAGTTCAGAGTCTATCTATTAGGAGATAGACCCTTCAGTGTTTATACTGACCATGCGTCATTACGCACGGCAGTAAACAGCCCGCACCTTTCACAACGAATGGCGCGGTGGTTGTCATTCTTTGCAGAATACAACTTTACGGTCGAGTACAAACCAGGACGACTTAATGTCGTCGCTGATGCACTCTCACGTCGGCCCAACTTTGAACTAGTCGTGGAACCCGACAGTGAGACAGCCACTGTTGCGGTTATGACGTCCTCAGTCCCATCTTCAACGTTACGTGATGATGTGAGGCGGGCGTATGCTCAAGATGGTGATATTGTGAAGTTGTTGGCACATCTCTCACAGCCATCTCGAGAATCGTTGAAGCGGTTATCGTCTGCGTATCGATCTGCATCAGATCGATACACTACTCGTAACGGTTTACTGTATTATACAGCAGTTACTGGTGACACACCACGTTTTGTCATTCCCGATGATACTGATCTGCGTTTGCGGATCATGTTCGAGTATCACGATGCTCCTATAGGAGGACATCGTGGCCGAGAGAAAACATATCTCACGGTAAGTCGAGACTTTTACTGGCCCCGCCAGTATCAGTTTGTGCGAAAGTATGTTCGCGCATGCGAAGTCTGTCAACGAGTGAAGTCAAGTCCTTCACTGCGTGCACCTTTACAGCCTCTACCGGTTCCGGCTGAGTGCTGGGAATCCATCTCAATGAATTTCGTCTTCGGGTTACCCAAAGACGCCCGCGGGAATACGGGTATTCTCGTATTTGTTGACAGATTCAGCAAAATGGTACACCTAGTGGCTGTACCAGAGACAATCACGGCAAGTGGCTGTGCTTGTGTCTTTATCGACACCATCTTCCGACTTTATGGGTTGCCCCGTGAACTCGTATCAGACAGAGATCCACGCTTCACAGCTGATTTCTTGCGTTCCGTGTTCAGATCACTCGAAACGCGCTTGAAGATGTCTACATCTGATCATCCAGAGTCAGATGGTCAGACGGAACGGGCAAATCGTGTCCTTGAAGAGATACTTCGAGGATACTTACACTCCTTTAAGAGTTGGAGTGAGTTCTTGCCAATGGTAGAGTTTGCCATCAACAACTCGGTGCATGCGTCCACGACACATACACCGTTTTACGTGAATGGCTTGCGCCATCCGCGTGTACCCACCTTGCTCGAGTGTAAAACTGGTTTAAGGGGGAAAGAGACTCGCGCGAGCAAAAAACGATTTGGTTCACGCTCATCACACTTTGACGATGAGGTCATTGCGTTTGATGCCAATATCGACAACATCGATATCGAAGAAGATGATGCCAGTGAGAGCGAGGGAACCCTCACTGAAGAAAAGGTTGATGTCGCTGCAGTGCACTCACAGCGCACTGAAGCTAACGAGTCATCAGATGAGTTCATACTGTCTCGTGAAACGGTAGTCCGTTTTGTGCAAGACTCCATCGCCGAAGCGGTGGATAAGCAAAAGCAAAACGCTGACAAGAATGGAAGGGCAAACACTCTTTAATTTAATAAAGGTGACTTAGTCCTACTGTCTACGGTTAATCTACCAAAACGTGTAGTGACTAACTTGGGTAGCAGTAAACTACTACCCAAGTACACCGGTCCATTTCGTGTATTGCACCGCCTAGGCAATGCATCCACGATCGAGTTGCCACGTAAGATGCGAACGCATCCCACGTTTTACGTTGGTCGGCTTAAGCCGTACCATCAGTACACTGCTTCTTCCGATGAAGAACACCCTTGCGCTCAAGCATCTCGCAGAGAGCCTTGTGCTCCCGATGGTGGGCATCGACAAGGGTCTGAAGAGCAGTTATCTCATCCCGAGACCGATCAACAATCCCACGAGCTACCCTTAGCTCGTCACGAAGAGATGTCAGAGCTCTCTCGTTCTCAAGCTGAGCAAAGGCAAACTCAGCTCGATGCTTCAAGACAGTGTCCGCCATTTGGAGGCGCCTGTCCCGCTCATGTTTGAGATCACCGCGTAACCCTTGCGTTACGCGATCAAAGAAGCTCTCGGGAACACACGGATCCCCACGATCGTGTGGAGAGCGTCTTTCCTCCTCCTCCACCTCCATTAGAGGACTCTCGCGGTGGCCAGCGCTATCTTGTTTCAGCGCGATAGTTTTTCGCGCTGGGGTCAAGGTGATGGATCCTTGACGAATCGAACAACGTGTTCGATAACGATCACTCGTCGTCGCCGACAAGTGATCCATGACAGATTTAGGAGGCATCCATGCCTTCTTCTCGGGAGCGAGACGCAAGACACTGCGGTCTGCGACGTGCCGATAGAAGGAATGGCACCTCGTTGCGAAGTGGTGTCCATAGGAGAACCGACACCACTTTTAGCGCCCGAGTCTCGCGACCTCGAGCGCCTTCGCTTCGGCGATGGTTCATCTGATTCATCAGATGAACCAAAGATGCTACGACGCATAGCATCATCCATGCCACGCTTAGCAGGCGGCTTGGATTCGATCGCCGTCGATACGGATCCGTCTTCCGCATCAGGAGAGTATGAGACACCGAGCTCATACTCTGTGAAGACATGAGTGTCTTCATGACCAGCGCCTGCATCACCAAGTGACACAGGCTGAGTCGCTTCAGCAACCGATGAGACATCAGTTGCTGTGGTTTCTGCTTCGGCGTCCGCACAGAGACGTGCGGACGCGCTCTCGGCGGCCTTGCTCGCGCATCGCATGGGCTTGTTAACCATGCGATGAAATGTTGGAAAGTGGACTCGGACCAACAAGTGCAAACCCTGTCCCAAATGATTTGGGACGAGTATCCATTTAGTAAATCAGTCACTAAAGTGACTGATGGTTAAGGGGGGGTGATGTAACGGGGTGAATCGTTACATAACAATTTATTAGAAATTGTTTATAGAATATAACTATAAGAGTTATATTCTCAGAATATTGTCATAAGGACAATATTCTGTAGCACTTACGAGTATTTCCTAATTGGTTGATATAGGCCATTATATCAACCAACGAAGACGCGCCACGACAGACGCACGCAATGAGTGGTGAGCAGATAATTGATTTACACATTTGTATTTAGACATAGTTAGATGAAGATAAATAGTGATTTATTGCAGACATTAACTATTATAAATACAGTTCTACTTTTTACTTTAACCAAGTACTCGCTTCCTCTTACCGTCTTCCTCTGCACGTACGAGTGTACGTGAAGTTCCGAGGCACCGCCTTATTCTGTCATCAGAATAAGTAGCTTGTACTGTCACCAGTACAAGCTTCAGGGTGCCCCATTACAGTGACGGTCCCCGTTATGATCCAGTACCGATTGTTTATGGAAAGTAGCACCGAGTCAGATACTCTTCGTCCAGTGGTGCGTCTAAACACTTTTGGGCACGTTGTGAGCCCGAGCTGACCTGAAGAGCAAGAAATCGACTACGAGGTGATGGACAGGGATTACGTACACATGGCTCGCTGGGACTACTGCAGTAGTAAAGGGACTCTTTGTCAAGTGTAAAGGGGTTACACATGGTTGGGTACCTGGTACTCTGTGTCTTAGACAGACGGATGATATCTCACTGAGAGGTATACAGAATATTTTATCGGTTCATAGGGGCTGACTGGTGTCGGCGAATAGATAGGAGAGATCTTAGTTGTACTAAGTTAGAACATAAGTGTCTAGATTAGCTAATGTTAGGATAAAGATATCCGATAGGTTTTAAATGTAGATAAAATTCAGTTCCCCATTTGATCTTAAAGACACGTGCCTTGCGAGGTGTCTTTGGTCGTTGACCACTGACCACTAAGAGTTAGCAACACCTTCTTGAGGTAGCTAGTTGCTCTTGAGCACTAAGTGCTGTCAATTCATTGAATCGTTTGGTCCCCTAGAACAAGGACCATAAGCTTTACGCTTATTGACTCATTGAGTCTAGTTCTTTAAAACTAAGTTGCTCGTTGAGCATTAAGTCTTCCTCTGACTTAAGGAGCTGTGTAGCTCCGCTATACTTGGTTAGACTCGTAGTCAGCTGCGCCTGAGTCTTTAAGACTGATCCTCTGTGAGGATGGAAAAACCCACTCCTCTCTCTGAGGCCCAAAAGGTCGCGCTAAATAAGCTGACCGCACATTTGGGTCCAGAGTACGTGGAGTTCCTTGTCTCACAAGGCCCTGAGGTGCTAAATGCACGTGTTGAAGGCTTTATGAAGTATGAAGCGACCCTTTTAAAGAAGGTGAGACCAAGTAGCGTCGGCTATGCCTAAACGCTATGTGTCTGTACCAGACGAAGAGACTAGACCTCGTCCACTTAGAGTGGAAGTTAAAAATTACTCCAAAAGGAGGATCAAAACCCCATTTTCTGGATCCGTGAGATTGAGATGGCCGTGAGATCAGGCCTGATCACGCTTGACCACCAACAGGTCTCGCTGGATGTCTCGAAGCTCGATGGAAGATCTAGAGAATGGGCCTTGACGTGTAGCACGTCGGTGAACATAGCGTTTACCTCATGGGAGTCGCTCAAGTCACAATTAGTACAGGTGTTCTCACCACCTAACCAGGTTTACCGCGAGCGTTCACGCTTTCTTTTAACCCGCCAGGGTAAGAAAGAACTGTCGGACTAAGTCCAAGAGCTGGGAACGCTTTTGGCTGCAATGCAGTCTGACCCTCTGCCTGATGCAGTCCATGTGACTATCTTAACGGAAGGTCTAAGTTCTGGCATTGCCAGAACAGAGGTTTTTCGAGTTCACCCATCTACTTTTGGAGAGGCTGTGAGAATTGCTCTTAATGCTGAGCATAACTTCAAGTCGGCCAGGCTTGGCTGGAATGGGTACAATCCTCGCTCTGAGAGAGCAACAGCTTCGGGTACCACTGCCTACAATAGGCCGGAACCGATATATCTCAGCTTTGCTAAAGATGAAAATGAAGTTAAACTTCAAGCTGCTGATCAGCAACACGTCGTACGACGATGTTTTACGTTAGGGAGCACTAAACACTTGCGGCCTGGTCGCCCTTTGCGTAAGCAACGCCAGGCTACAAGATAACACTCCACCCCGAGCCAGAAGTCTGGCATGGCACGGGGAAATGTCGACACCCAGTTGGCGCTGGGCGCCCTATTGAGGAAGAACTGGGTTCTGTTACACCTGTAGGAGGTAAAGTTGAGAAGGGCTTAGCCCCAAAGATTACCATACCTTTTGGTATGGAGCGTGGATACAAGTCTGGCTTGTTAGTCGCCGAGGCGAAAATTAGGGGCTTTTAGAGGCATTGGTCGGTATTGATCGACTCTGGCGCGTCTTGCAATTATACTCGACGTCGTTTTTAAAGAAAAGTCAGTGTTATGCTGAGGTGCTTACAGCGCATGAGGGTGATTCTATCACAATTCGTTTAGCTACTGGAAGTCGTACTACTGTGCCTAAAGTGTCATTGAACTTAGGTATACAGTTATTAGACTTTGACAGCATTGAACGCTGTCTTGTCCTTGACATGGACTCGAGACATGATCTCATACTTGGTATGGCTTGGCTTAAAGGCCATGAGCCATGGATTGATTGGAGGTCTAAGACCTTAGGTGCCACGCGCAACGTTCCTAGCGAAGTTTTGGAAGGTCATTTCGCTAGGCAACAGAAGCACTACTAGCGCGATGCTTTGGCAGAAGATGTTAATATGCTGGACACTGGAATGACTGAGTTGTCTAGCTCCAATGTTGTAAACGTATATTGCGAGCGCAGCTCGTTTAGTATCGGTGATACGGCACGTACTCCGTTGAAAGTTACTCGTTGTGATAACGAGTCACTGCATGCTGAAAGCATGGCTGGACTAGGGCTGGATTATCAAGGATGTGATTCCTTTGATGCGTGTGAGGTGGCACGTGAAAATTCGCCGAGTTTGGTCGGCCGTGAAGGTACCACACTTAATGTCGGTAACGACATTGTTGGCGAAACGCCGTTCAGTTCAGGGCTAGGCCCGCATACTGTGCGTGGAGTGGCACGTGGAAATCCACTGGGTGAAGAGTTCGAGTTTTATGTAACACTTTACCAGATGTTGGTCAAGGCATTGGCTCTCGTATAGAGCGCACTACTATCAGTAGTAATAAAGGGGACAGTATTGTCCTGACTCCTAAGGGTTGTAAGGTATCAACTAGACGACTTAGACGACAGGTGGCAACTTTAAAGCGCCAGGCGTCCACAAAGTCACTGAGTGATACTAGTGAAACACTAGATACTCTTGTTAATGGATTGACTGATCAGGTTAATGGCAATGTTAGCCTTGAAACCCTTCCATCGTTGAATACTCTGTGTAAGCTGGAACAAATGTCTGATGGCGGGTGTATCCAGGCCTTAAAGACAGGAGATTCATCCAAATTAGTGGTCATTAGACCCGATGTTGCGTTGAAGCTGTCCTAATAAATAAATGAGTCTGTCTTAGAAGACACAAAAGCGGCATTTGGTTCACGAAGAGGATCTTCGATCCATAAAGATCCTTTGGTTTTTTTTATTCTTTGGTTAAGAAATTTCAAGATGTGGTGTGTCACAATCCACCATCCGTCTTAACACCTGATAGAGGTGTACGTCATGAAGTTGACTTAGATCCAGGAACTTAATACTGCGTAACACGGCAGTAGCCTTTTCCTAACAAGCAGTGTGACGTCATTGGTGATTTCTTTTGTGCTAAGCACGCGGCTGGAATGGTGCGCTAGAGTATATCTCCCCATTCAACACCGACATTTTGTATTAAGAAGACAAATGGCAAGTGGTGCATTGTGCATGCTTATAATAAGCTTAACGCAGCCACTGTACCAGCGAAGACGCCTATTCCTAGAAAGGATGTTTTTCAGAACAATATGGTAGGGTGTTCATTGTACAGCGCACTCGACTTATTCGGCGGTTATTACCAGCTCCTCATGCAAGCGAGTGCTCTTTCGCTAACTGCGGTGAGTACTCCGAGTGGTATGCTCTAGGAGTGGTTCGTTATGCCTCAAGGGCTGTCTAGTGTCCCGACTACTTTTAACTGTCTGGTGACACAACTGTTCGGAACTCATCGAAGTTACGCTCAAACGTTCTTTGACGACATCTTTGTCCACAGTTGTGAAACGAATGATCAATCAGATGAGAATAACCACATTGATCATCTAAGAGCGGTGCTCGAGTGCATGCTCACGAATAATTAGTACGCTAACGCGTCTAAGTGCTTCTATGGTGCAGAAGAGATTCCCTTTTTAGGGTGTTTCGATGGAAAGCGAGGCCTCCGAGCGGACCCCCGGTAAGGTAAAAGCCATGGTAGATTGGCCGGTTCCTCAAAACCAAAAGAACTTACGCAAGTGGCTTGGCCTTTCCAATTACTTGCATAAGTATAGTGCAAATTACGCAGATGTGGCTTGGCCATTATACAATATCCTGAAAAGGATGTGGATTAATGTTGGGGTCATATCGAACACGATGCTTTCAAAGCGGTTTCGGAGAGTCTCCTTCATGCGCCAAATTGGCTTTGCCCGATCCTGATCGGCCATTTAGTGTCGTTTGTGACGCGTCTGACTTTGCCATTGGTAGTGCTCTGTTACAAACAGATGTTGATGGAAGTGAGCACGTCATTGCGTTTTGGTCTCGCCAGCTTAAAGCTGCAGAGGAGAACTATCCAGCTCACGACAAAGAGCTACTTGCTATGAAGTATGCTTTAATCAAATTTAGAGTACATCTGCTTGTCTCCAAGCCTTTTGTGATCAATAGAGATGATGCGTCATTGCGCACTTCAACACAGTCGCAGCATATCTCTCAGATAATGGCTCGTTGTCTTTCCTTCTTTGCCGAATACAACTTCGAGGTGAAGTATGAGCCAGGAAAGCAAAATACCTTGTATTATGCGCTATCGCGGCGACCTGACTATTTTGAGCTAGCTCACGTTACGACACTGTCGTCATCATTCCCTGACTTATCCCCGTGCGGCTTGTGCCAAGGAGGAAAAATGTGTAGCTTTGATACGGGCTCTTGGGAGTGACGAGTTTAAGAACTCGGACATAACATTGTCGGCACGTTTACGTGCGGGGCTACATCAGTATTCTATCGATAATAGTCTGTTGTGCTATCGCACGAATATTGAGAATACCACTCGTATCGCTTTTTCTCATGATGAGGTGTTCAAGTATCGAGTCCTCTTTGAGTCACATGATACTGCTTTGAGTGGTCATCTCGGTCGTGAAAAGACCTATAGCTCAGTGGTCCAGGCTTATTGGTGGCTAAACTATATGAAGGGATGAGCATTTATTTGCGTATGTGCGAAACGTTTCAACGGGTCAAACCCTCAGCACATGCGGTTGCACCGCTTGCTAGTTTGCCTTTTACCACTGGGTGTTGGGATTCCGTCAGCATGAACTTTGTGTTTGGCCTGCCAAAGGATTTGGACGTCAGCACTGGCTTGTGGCCTTTGTCGACCATTTGAGCAAGATGGATCAATAAGCGTCTGTGCCGGACACAATCAATGCTGAAGGCACAGCAAAGCTGTTTAGCGATCGTGTCTTTTGACAACATTGTTTGCCTGTGTCAAGTGTCTCTGATAGAGATCTCCGCTTCACAGGTAAGTTCTGGACTTCCATCTTCAAGGTGCTCGGCACCTATTGGACATGTCCACGGTGGATCATCCGCAGACCGATGGTCAAACTGAGCGTGTCAAACGTGTCTTCGGTGACTTTTAGCGCAGTTTTTGCGCTGATACTCCATGGCGTTGGACCGCAATGCTCCCTAATATTGAATTTGCGTTGTACAACGCTGTTCATGCCTCCACAGGATCTACTCCGTTTTACGTATACGGTCTCACCCATCCTCGCGTTCCTTTAACGCTTCCACTCTGTGGTTTAGGTCTGGGTGGGGGAGAGGTTGCCGATCGGCTTGCTGATATCAGCCCTGCTACGGTACAAAAACTGGTTGGTGAGTTTTTCGCAACGCGATTGAGTGTCTTTCTTACGACATGGGCGCGACGCAATGGCTGATAGCCAAGATCAACAAAAACAACAAGCGGATGCCAAAGGCAGAAATTGTATTGGAAGTTTTAAGGTCGGAGACCGAGTATTACTCATTTTCAAAAATCTACCTTTAAATGTAGTGTCAGCGGTCAATAGGACCAAGTTGCATCCACGCTTCATTGGACCGTTTATAGTCACTGCCAATAAGGGCCTTACATAAACGCTCAACATTTCACGCAAATTGCGCACACACTCTGTGTTCTACGTAGGCTTACTTTAGCCGTCCCGGGATTCTTCCCATGTGAACTTTGAGGTGCTGGCGCTGACGACGAGAGAGGTGTCCCGGATTGCTGCAAGCAAATCAGCAAGTCCAACTGAGCCTCGCTTCGAGGTTGGGCACGATCCATCGCCTGAAGGCGGCGGTGCGTCACATCCAGCATGCATTGGGTCTTTCCCAAGGGTTTCTTGAAGATCCTTCACTTCGAGAACCAATTTCTCGTGTCCTGCTACCGGTACACCAGCCACCACTGACGCTGCTCGATAAGCATGGGTGTCGTAAGTTTCATGTCGAGAGACTTCTGAAACGACTTCGTCGTCATGGCCAATACCAGTATCTGGTAAAGTGGTGTGGGTACCCTGAGTCTGAGAACTCATGGGAATACAAGGTACCCCTACGACAAGAGTACTTGAATGCTTTGGATGTTTTTAAACATCGTGGCCAAGGTCATCTTGAGACCGAGGCCGTTTCCCACCACTTGTGGTGTGGGTTGGCGGGTTATAAGTCATAGTTTGACCAACACTCGCGGCTACCGTAATCGCCGAAGCTTATCGTGAGGGTTTACGCAATTGCCCTTTGGCCTTAAGCTTGGCATAGCCATACCGAATCTTGCGTCCGAAACGCACATCATCCACATTGGCACTAATTCTCAGAGCAGACATACTGCTGAGACGACGTATGCGGTGCACCCAGCGGACGAGGACATTGGCATCTTTGCTCTCTGTTTCACTTGCAGACAAGAGAATGAGTATACCCTTAATCGGTGGGACCGGTGCACGACGTGCTTGCATATCAAGACGTGCCTTGTATTGACTTTGAGTCGTTAGGTCCGGCTCTAGGTACCTCTCACGAAGTGACTGGCAGCTCACCACCTCCTCAGGAGTCTTAGGCCCATGGCCAATAACCCACGTTGCCAATGTTTGGCCGGCCGCTTGACGTAGACGTTCCTCCACACTGGGTGGAGTGAACACATAGTCACGCTGGCGCTCAAGAGTTGCACCCATTTGTAAATGACGCTGAGCGTTTTCTTCTTTTTGAACAAGCAATCGTTGTTGCTCATCGAGCGGGTTCGTGATGATAGTTTCATCACAAACTAGATGCTGAATGCTGCGCTAGTGGCGTGCTCGCAGCTCCATGTTCAGAGAACGGATTTGGGGTGTTCGAAGGTTGTGACTCAGGCATAAGTGAGTCGGACGTTGTCCCTGGATCGCTGTGGACACTGGTATCGCTACCATAGTCCACTGCCTCCTCTATTCCGAGGTAGTCACACAGAATCTTTGACTCGTTTGGCGATGAGGACATCGTTCTAGAGCTTTGCGTTACCGTGAGGTGAACCGCAATCGGACTGACCTCGTGGAAGAACAAAGTTCGATTAGAATGTTCGGTTGGAACCTGGTTTGATTGACATTTAGGTCAACGTCAGTCCGGTGGGGAGATGAAACGGTTTTACGTAGTTGAGTACCTGATACCCTGTTTCTTGGACACAGGGATGCTATCTCACTGAGAGGTATACAGAATATTTTATCGGTTCATAGGGGCTGACTGGTGTCGGCGAATAGATAGGAGAGATCTTAGTTGTACTAAGTTAGAACATAAGTGTCTAGATTAGCTAATGTTAGGATAAAGATATCCGATAGGTTTTAAATGTAGATAAAATTCAGTTCCCCATTTGATCTTAAAGACACGTGCCTTGCGAGGTGTCTTTGGTCGTTGACCACTGACCACTAAGAGTTAGCAACACCTTCTTGAGGTAGCTAGTTGCTCTTGAGCACTAAGTGCTGTCAATTCATTGAATCGTTTGGTCCCCTAGAACAAGGACCATAAGCTTTACGCTTATTGACTCATTGAGTCTAGTTCTTTAAAACTAAGTTGCTCGTTGAGCATTAAGTCTTCCTCTGACTTAAGGGGTTGTGTAGCTCCGCTACATCAAGCATCCTCTGTCCCCTGAATTAAATAGATCCGAGCGCGAGAGCATCTCCGCCATCTGGTAGTGTGCACACAAGAATGTAACCCCGAATGTGGTTAAAGAACGGTTTTCACAGGCCTTTTAAGATGTCCCTCTGTGACGCTTGACGTCTGAAGTCAGCAGAATGAGAAAGCTAGGAGTAGTAAGACTGTGTCATGGCAGATGACAGATGTGGATGCCAAAAAACCAAACATCTTATTAGTGCTATGTAGTTAGAATATACAGTATGAGCCTCTCGCTGATAGAAAGTCTGATATAATTGTAGCTCCATTGTAACAGTAGCCTCACCACGATGCATGACGCCCCGTCCAGCAGGTGCTTAGAGGCAGCTAATTGGGCTCCTGGATTCTCGAAAGGGGTTATTCCGCGTGTAACGGGGTTACACGGCGGTTATTGAACCGGTTTTATCGTGTGTCCACACAAAGTAAGGATTGGTAAATTAGAGTGGTACAGTATCGGTACCACGTACTTACGGTAACACCGCACCTTATCGAGTAGGGATAAGGGATAAGACTTCTGTCATAGGATCGCAATGTCGTAGTCAGTCAAACAAACTTTTAGGTTTTATCACCGTATTCAAAGAAAAAATATAGCTCAGTTCCGCTTTTAAATCGTTGGAAGCAAGTGCCTAGTCAAGGCGCAGAGTGTTATTAAGAGCACTAGCCTCGTCAAAGCTCTTACTCTTGTTTAACTAGTAGTGACTAGTTAGCGTGTGATTCTGTGAATCGTAATCCCTATGGAACCGGGATTGTTAAACTTGTAATCTTGAACGACTGTAAGTCGCTGTTAGTTCTAATAAAAAAGGGACTTTTTAAGTCCAAGCCTTCCTTTCTGAAGGAGCGCTAAGTAGATCCTCTACACCGTGTATGTTCTTTGCTGACTGCCAAGACACGGTTGGTGTGTCAAGTGTAATAATTGTAACGGGGCACCCTGAAGCTTGTACTGGTGACAGTACAAGCTACTTATTCTGATGACAGAATAAGGCGGTGCCTCGAAACCTCACGTACACTCGTACGTGCAGAGGAAGACGGTAAGAGGAAGCGAGTACTTGGTTAAAGTAAAAAGTAGAACTGTATTTATAATAGTTAATGTCTGCAATAAATCACTATTTATCTTCATCTAACTATGTCTGAATACAAATGTGTAAATCACTTATCTGCTCACCACTCATTGCGTGCGTCTGTCGTGGCGCGTCTTCGTTGGTTGATATAATGGCCTATATCAACCAATTAGGAACTACTCGTAAGTGCTACAGAATATTGTCCTTATGACAATATTCTGAGAATATAACTCTTATAGTTATATTCTATAAACAATTTCTAATAAATTGTTATGTAACGATTCACCCCGTTACATCACCCCTCCCTAACCATCAGTCACTTTAGTGACTGATTTACTAAATGGATACTCGTCCCAAATCATTTGGGACAGGGTTTGCACTTGTTGGTCCGAGTCCACTTTCCAACATTTCATCGCATGGTTAACAAGCCCATGCGATGCGCGAGCAAGGCCGCCGAGAGCGCGTCCGCACGTCTCTGTGCGGACGCCGAAGCAGAAACCACAGCAACTGATGTCTCATCGGTTGCTGAAGCGACTCAGCCTGTGTCACTTGGTGATGCAGGCGCTGGTCATGAAGACACTCATGTCTTCACAGAGTATGAGCTCGGTGTCTCATACTCTCCTGATACAGAAGACGGATCCGTATCGACGGCGATCGAATCCAAGCCGCCTGCTAAGCGTGGCATGGATGATGCTATGCGTCGTAGCATCTTTGGTTCATCTGATGAATCAGATGAACCATCGCCGAAGCGAAGGCGCTCGAGGTCGCGAGACTCGGGCGCTAAAAGTGGTGTCCGTTCTCCTATGGACACCACTTTGCAACGAGGTGCCATTCCTTCTATCGGCACGTTGCAGACCGCAGTGTCTTGCGTCTCGCTCCCGAGAAGAAGGCATGGATGCCTCCTAAATCTGTCATGGATCACTTGTCGGCGACGACGAGTGATCGTTATCGAACATGTTGTTCGATTCGTCAAGGATCCATCACCTTGACCCCAGCGCGAAAAACTATCGCGCTGAAACAAGATAGCGCTGGCCACCGCGAGAGTCCTCTAATGGAGGTGGAGGAGGAGGAAAGACGCTCTCCACACGATCGTGGGGATCCGTGTGTTCCCGAGAGCTTCTTTGATCGCGTAACGCAAGGGTTACGCGGTGATCTCAAACATGAGCGGGACAGGCGCCTCCAAATGGCGGACACTGTCTTGAAGCATCGAGCTGAGTTTGCCTTTGCTCAGCTTGAGAATGAGAGAGCTCTGACATCTCTTCGTGACGAGCTAAGGGTAGCTCGTGGGATTGTTGATCGGTCTCGGGATGAGATAACTGCTCTTCAGACCCTTGTCGATGCCCACCATCGGGAGCACAAGGCTCTCTGCGAGATGCTTGAGCGCAAGGGTGTTCTTCATCGGAAGAAGCAGTGTACTGATGGTACGGCTTAAGCCGACCAACGTAAAACGTGGGATGCGTTCGCATCTTACGTGGCAACTCGATCGTGGATGCATTGCCTAGGCGGTGCAATACACGAAATGGACCGGTGTACTTGGGTAGTAGTTTACTGCTACCCAAGTTAGTCACTACACGTTTTGGTAGATTAACCGTAGACAGTAGGACTAAGTCACCTTTATTAAATTAAAGAGTGTTTGCCCTTCCATTCTTGTCAGCGTTTTGCTTTTGCTTATCCACCGCTTCGGCGATGGAGTCTTGCACAAAACGGACTACCGTTTCACGAGCCAGTATGAACTCATCTGATGTGTAACGGGGTGAGAGCCCGTTACCGTCTTACACTAATAATTAAGCTGAGAAAGCGCTGTGATTTATAAGGTAAATTTAACTCTGTTTGTATTTTTGTGTTTTTATAATTCGCAGTAAGTGCGAATATGTTCCCTAGCTCATGGGAACCACTCAAATACAGAACTAATTATTATTGGCTAATTATTGGGTCTGGCACCCCAATAATAAACCAATAATAAATAGACGCGCAGTATCCGCTATCCGGATACTGCCTACACTTAATGTATGTAATTATGTAATAAAACTATGACTACTTAATATAACGGGTTGCCCCATTACATCACCCCCCTCTTTAAGTTGCGCTTACCGTGACGTAAGCGCCATACACAGAAAGTTTCATCTTAACGAATAGTCCAACGAAAAGCCCAACGAGAACTCCAACGACACGTCATCTTGGTCTTCGAATCTGCTCAGCCACAAACAACTGAGCAGCATGAATCCTGAACACCTACGCGACTCGACCCCGAACGACAGTTGGGGTCATCAGACACTTCGAAGAGAGCTTGCACCGCAGACCATGGATGACGACTTGAAGCCGTGGGGCTTGTACAGCCTTGAAGGCGCGCACCAACCTGAATCACTTGAGACCATGAAGAATCTCTTCACACGATACCGTAACGTTCGAGGCAAGGGAACGAATCACACATACACTGAAGACGCACTGCAACGATCTTGGTGTGCCTTCATCAGACGTTGGAACGCGAGTCGACGTGAAGGGGGCATCCTTCACGTCCTGGATCGAGGGACGCGAAAGTACTCATGGCGACCACGCTATTGGCGACTTACGACGACGCGTATGTCATTTGACTCGTGATGGGTTCCACATGTGTTACGTCCATGTCCGTGAAGGGTGTCCACGGTGTCACATGGAGAGACCGCGACCAATGCGGCAGGAATGGGACGACATGGTGTGTGCACGGGGAATGCCCCAGCACATCCGACCATGGATCGGACGCTATGAGAGGAGCCTCTCAGAGCTCCAAGTATCTGCGTTGCGTCACATGAGGGAACGCCCTGTCGATCAATGGAGGCGTTCACGTAGTCGAGATTGTTTGTCTTACGACTACCGAGGTCGTTCTCGTAGTCGCTCTCGACCGTCAAGGTATCCAAATGCTCCCGAGCCTCGTAGAAGACGTCGGAGTCGCTCGGGAGATCGTCGTCGATCGCCAATTCACGCACGTTACGGTTCGCGGGATCGTGGAAGGAGTCAGCAGCGTCGGTCGCGTTCGCCGACCTCTTACTGATCTCGTACTCCTCAACGACGTCAGGAACATCGTGAGCCAGCATACTTCGAGGCTCCCACGTGTCTTCCGTTGGTGAATAACCAAACCATCGGACCTTGTAATGCGTTTCTGAACGACTCTTCGATGGCGCCGAGCCACTACTCGGCGCAAGAGGCGTGGGGTCTTCATGACCGACGATACGGTCCACAATCCAGCGTCGCTCACCCGATGCATCTACCAAGGGAGGAGGAGCATCACGACGGAAGGCTTCTTGGGTTGGGCGCCGATTCTCATAATCGGGCGCCTGTGCCGTCGAGTGACGAGCTTCGTTTCCTTCGTGCTGACACTGAAGAGGCGATGAACGGCCTTCTGGATGCCCGTGAGATGGCCGAGAGGGCTCGAGATCGTGCAGCAGCTGCGACAGAGGCTGCCGAGAGAACCCGACGGGAGCAGCAGGGCTTGGTGGAGCGTCTGCGACAGCTCGAGACTGCTGCGTTCGGTGGACCCCAGCAGAACGAGTCTGCTCGCGCTCGTCTAGGACTTGGTCCCAGTCGTCGTCAGCGTCGTCGGCAGGGGGTGTCGGACTTTGAGCCGATACAGACGAGTGAGGAAGGACCAAAGGGAGATCCGCCGGCAGGTAAGCCTTAAGGCGCCCGACATAGAATGTCGGGTGCAAACGCATAGTGGTAGGTATGTCTAGCGTGTAAGCATCTCCATGGACTTCAACAATCCGAAAGGGCCCAATATATCTTGGCGCTAATTTATTAGCGCCCAAATTCGCTACTGACGTGTCTGGTAATCCGCTTGTCGATAGTAAGACTCTGTCACCTTCTTTGAACGTCAGCAAGTTCTTTCGACCTCGCTTGTCCGCGTTCTCCTTTTGTTTATCCACTGCTTCTTGGAGTGCATCGCGTACAAAACGCGTGATACTTTGCCGTAGTTATAGGAATTCGGTCACAGCAGCCGAACTTACAGGAGAAGTGGACTCTTTAGGAGCAAAATTAGCGACGGGAGACGCGATGGGATGCATCGCGTCGGGACTCGATATGCCATTGGCCACGAAATTAACAGTATGAGTTGCATCGGCAGCAACCTTGTCTTCAACATTACCAATCATCAAAATTTTTCGCGTAGTGTCATCGGGAGATACTCCCCCACCAAGCTGAGAAACTGGGTGTGCTGAAGCTGAAAGAGCAAGAAACGCTGGAACGCGAGGGTGCCTCGCGTTATTCACGAAAAATGGCGTTAACCCAGTCGACGCATGAATTGCGTTGTTGATTGCAAATTCAGCGAGAGGGAGAAACGAACTCCACGACTGGAACGATGTCGCATAACTGCGTAGTACATCTTCAAGCACTCTGTTCACGCGCTCCGTTTGCCCATCCGTCTCTGAATGGGCTGCCGTAGACATAAGCAGTCGCGTACCCAATAGTTGAAACAACGTTGCCCAAAAAGCTGATGTAAAGCGCGGGTCGCGGTCCGAAACAATTGATTCAGGCAAGCCGTGATGTCGAAATATGAGATCGATGAAGATCTGCGCGGTCGTCTCCGCCGTAACGTGCGCGGAGACTGAAGCAAAATGCAGCATTCTGCTAAATCGATCCACAAAAACCAATACGCCCGTGCGTTTCTGTTCGTCCGGAGGGAGACCAAAGATGAAATCCATGCTGACCGAACGCCAGGCTTCCGTGGCAATCGGAAGCGGACGCAATGGAGCTTGTGAAGACGGCGCAGGCTTCACACGCTGGCATATTTCACAAGAGCGTACCCATTTCTGGATGTATTTGTACATACGCGTCCAGAAAAACACACGAGAGATGGCCGCGAACGTCTTCTCGCGACCCAAATGACCACCAGTTGGAGTGTCATGAAATTCATGCACCAATCGTGCGCGAAGGTCGTCATCAGCAGGGATGACGACGCGCGGTGGGTCGAAAACGTCCATTGTATAAGTCAGCAGCGGACCATCAAGCGCGTACCGCTTGATGTTGTCACGCGTTGGTTTCGTCAACTTCGCGAGTGAACCCTCACTAGGGTGTCGAAGATAATTGATGATTCCCGTGTAGAATGAATCGTTCGCATATGACTCAGCGATTTGAGTCCGGATTGACAGCTCAGGTGTCGAAATCATTGCATTGAGCCCCTGCTCAGCACAGCATAAACAAATGTCGTCGTCCTCGTCTTCAGCAATGCCTGGCTGATGACCCATGTCACGTCGAGGATCATAATCGGGACGTAGAGAAAGCGCGTCAGCAAGAATGTTGTTCTTGCCGGGTTTGTAAAAGACCACGAAATTATACTCTGAGAAGTATGACAACCAACGTGCCATACGCTGGGACAAGTGGGGAGTCTTGACGGCGGTACGCAATGATGCGTGATCTGTATAGACCGAAAACATCTTCTCGCCGAGCAAATATACTCTGAACTTGATCAGCGCGTAACGCATAGCCAAAAGTTCCTTGTCATGTACCGGATAGTTCCGCTCTGCGGGTTTCATCTGTCGTGACTGAAAGCTCACGACGCGCTCTCGGCCCTCATCGTCAAACTGCATGAGGGCACATCCAATAGCGAAATTACTCGCATCACAGACGACGTGAAATGGCTTGGAATCATCAGGCAACATCAGCACTGGTGCTTCAGACAAGCTCTTTTTCACAGAGTTGAAGGCAGAGTGATGTTCAGCTTTCCATGACCAACAAGTGCTACCAGGTGTAACGGGGTGAGAGCCCGTTACCGTCTTACACTAATAATTAAGCTGAGAAAGCGCTGTGATTTATAAGGTAAATTTAACTCTGTTTGTATTTTTGTGTTTTTATAATTCGCAGTAAGTGCGAATATGTTCCCTAGCTCATGGGAACCACTCAAATACAGAACTAATTATTATTGGCTAATTATTGGGTCTGGCACCCCAATAATAAACCAATAATAAATAGACGCGCAGTATCCGCTATCCGGATACTGCCTACACTTAATGTATGTAATTATGTAATAAAACTATGACTACTTAATATAATGGGTTGCCCCATTACATGATGACTCGTTAGCTTCAGTGCGCTGTGAGTGCACTGCAGCAACATCAACCTTTTCTTCAGTGAGGGCTTCCGCACTCTCACTGGCATCATCTTCTTCGATATCGATGTTGTCGATATCGGCATCAAACGCAATGACCTCTTTGTCAGAGCGTGATGAGCGTGAACCAAATCGGTTTTTGCTCGCGCGAGTCCCTCCTCCCTTAAACCAGAGTTACACTCTAGTAAGGTGGGTACACACGGATGGCGTAAGGCATTCAAGTAAAACAGTGTATGTGTCGTGGACGCATGCACCGAGTTGTTGATGGCAAACTCTACCATTGGCAAGAACTCACTCCAACTCTTAAAGGAGTATACGTATCCTCGAAGTATCTCTTCAAGGACACGATTGGCACGTTCCGTCTGACCATCTGACTCTGGATGATCAGATGTAGACAGCCTCAAGCGCGTTCCGAGTGATTTGAACACGGAGCGCAAGAAATCAGCTGTGAAGCGTGGATCTCTGTCTGATACGAGTTCACGGGGCAACCCATGAAGTCGGAAGATGGTGTCAATAGAGACACAAGCACAGCCACTTGCCGTGATTGACTCTGGTACAGCCACTAGGTGTACCATTTTGCTGAATCTGTCAACAAATACGAGAATACCCGTATTCCCGCGGGCGTCTTTGGGTAACCCGAAGACGAAATTCATTGAGATGGATTCCCAGCACTCAGCCGGAACCGGTAGAGGCTGTAAAGGTGCACGCAGTGAAGGACTTGACTTCACTCGTTGACAGACTTCGCATGCGCGAACATACTTGCGCACAAACTGATACTGGCGGGGCCAGTAAAAGTCTCGACTTACCGTGAGATGTGTTTTCTCCCGGCCACGATGTCCTCCTATAGGAGCATCGTGATACTCGAACATGATCCGCAAACGCAGATCAGTATCATCGGGAATGACAACACGTGGTGTGTCACCAGTAACTGCTGTATAATACAGTAAACCGTTGCGAGTAGTATATCGATCTGATGCAGATCGATACGCAGACGATAATCGTTTCAACGATTCTCGAGATGGCTGTGAGAGATGTGTCAACAACTTCACAATATCACCATCTTGGGCATACGCACGCCTCACATCATCACGTAACGTTGAAGATGGGACTGAGGACGTCATAACCGCAACAGTGGCTGTCTCACTGTCGGGTTCCACGACTAGTTCAAAGTTGGGCCGACGTGAGAGTGCATCAGCGACGACATTAAGTCGTCCTGGTTTGTACTCGACCGTAAAGTTGTATTCTGCAAAGAATGACAACCACCGCGCCATTCGTTGTGAAAGGTGCGGGCTGTTTACTGCCGTGCGTAATGACGCATGGTCAGTATAAACACTGAAGGGTCTATCTCCTAATAGATAGACTCTGAACTTCGCGAGTGCATACTTCATGGCAAGGAGTTCCTTGTCACTGGATAGTTCCGCTCAGCTGGTTGCAGCTGACGCGACTGATAGCAGACGACGCGTTCAACGCCTTCAAGATCGTACTGCATTAATGCACAGCCGATTGCGAAATCGCTGGCATCACAGACCACATGAAATGGCCTGTCCTGATCGGCTATTGCTAGGACTGGGGATTGTATCAAGCTCTGCTTGATACCATCAAAGGAGCGCTGACATTCAGCGTTCCATAACCACCTCTCGTTCTTTTTCAACAAACGAGAGAGGTGCACAGTCATCTCGGCGTAATTGCGTGAATACTTATGCAAATACGCCGCTAGCCTAAGGAATTTTCGAAGACCTTTGACATCAACCGGCACAGGCCAGTCGGTGATCGCCTTGATCTTTTCGGGATCAGGACGTACACCGTTCTTACCAACGATGCACTCAAGAAGTGGTATTTCGCTTGCTGCAACTATACACTTCTTGAGGTTTGCATACAATTGATGCTTTCGCATGATTGTAAGAACCTGTCGGACGTGGTACCTGTGGACCTCAACGTCCGACTTTCCATCCATAGCCCGACTATGGATGAATACGTCATCGAAATAACTCGGCGCGAATTCTCGTACTGGTCTCAACAGATGTGATACACATCTGTTGAACGTGGCAGGGGCATTACTAAGCCCTTGTGGCATTACTAGACATTCCCAGAGCATGCCGCTAGGCGTGCTCACTGCGGTATAGGGTATATCCCTTTCTCGCATAAGGATTTGATAGAAGCCATCCATCAAATCCATGGACGAAAAGATGGTACTCTTTGACATACCATCAATGATTACGTCCTTCCTTGGTATCGGCGTCTGAGCCGGTACCGTTGCAGCATTCAACTTGTTAAATGCATGCACTATCCGCCACCCTCCTGTTGCTTTTCGCACACAGAAGGTCGGAGAGCTATGTGGGAAAGTTGATTCCCTCACATGGCCCGCAGCTAAACGATCGGCAAAGAACTTGTCGATCGCAAGTACTTGTTCACGAGGCAGTGGCCACTGCTTCATGATACAGTACTTCGAGCCTGGTTTAAGGTCGACCTCGTGTCGAATACCTTTATCCTTCGGTAATTCGCACGGAACAGTTTCAGGGAATACATCCTTGAATTCAACCAAATCTGCATAGAGAGGATTTGTCTTGAGCGATTCCCACGATTGGGAGTCATATCGCTCAACTCGTGTCTTTTCATCTAGGAAACTCTCGTCCATAGATGAACTACTGAGAACTCTCTCGTTCTCAGTAAACACTGTTGCTGACCTTATGTCGGCTACACACTCGTCGTCAGCGACGAGTACGCAGATCTGCTTGACTTTGCCACTACGCAGATCACGCAAGAACATTTTATGTTCGAGCGTTGGCAACTGAGTGATCTCCAAAGTCAACTTCGGAGGCGCAATCAGATCAAGTGTATAAGCGCCTACACTTGATCCGTTATTGACTATGACATTCAATGTCTCTGTCATTTCCTGGGGACTTATTCCCTCAGGCCTCGAAGGACTTATTCCTTCGGCTTCCCTGGGACTTATTCCCGCGGGTTTCGGGGAACTTATTTCCGCCGTATCTGTAATATTGGGACTTATTCCCTTAACTTCCTCTAGCTGTGGTTGCGCAAGCACAGCGAGATTCTCTACAAAAGACTCTCCAGTCGATCTAGGATTATCGTTTCGCTTAACCTGAGCGATCGATTGTTTCTCTTCTAGATGTTCCCCGCTAGGGATACATCTTTGTCCCAGTCCACTCGACTTATTCGAGTGGTGGACCTTCGGCGCAGCCTGTGTTTCCTCACAGCCGCCGGAACTTTGCTCCGAAGTGTAACCGTTTGTTACACTAAGGGTTTGTGCAGTCGCACTAACGACCGTACCACAAGTGAGGCCATCGCACTCACTCGTAGTACATCCACACGCTTGTGGACGCTCCAAAACGTTCATCAGATGGTCATCTGATGAACAAGCGGCAGGCATCGTTACTGTTCGATGTTGCCAGTTTACCCGTGGTTCGTACCTTCTGAGCCACGGTATTCCAAGGATGACATCAAATTTGTCATCCAAATCCAATACGATAAAGTCATCGTCATATTGGGTATCTTCTAGCGTATAGTGGATCTTCACTATACGCTTCATGACGGTTACGGATGCGCCTGTCGCAAGACGTACCGTCATCCTCGTAGGAGGTGTGTCACATTCACTGAACTTAAAGTGACCATCTTCTAGCGATTGGCGTCGCACAAAATTGTTGGACGCCCCACAATCGACGAGAGCTCGAAGGGACAACTTATTCGTCACTTCGAGTTTCAAGGTAATGAGTGAGATCTCATTACCTAGAGCAGCAACGCACAACGTTTGTGTGTTGGGAGCAACCTTCATCAAGAGGCCTACAAATTCTCTTGACGTTGCTGGACCAGTAGGGTGCTCCGCACCTACTGATCCTGTCCGTTTTTTGACGGTCCATCCCGTTGTTGCGTCTTTGCACCAACAGCGGACCCGCGTCCCTGCCCCTTTCTCATGGGTGGACGGTCACTACGCCCAGTGTCGCGAGACACTGGACGAGGTGCACTACACTCGTAAGCGTAGTGTCCTGTCTTTTGACATCTGTTGCATCTCTGCAACTTCTTGTAGCCTGTAGAGCGAGCCTTCTCGCTCTCTACATAACAGAGTTCCATCGGCTCTGGACCTCCGTTGTCATATCGTCTCGGTTGACGATATGATGTCGAGCTGGCGCGAGCCTGTCTCAGACTGAAGTCTTCCTGTTCCGCAATGGAAATGGCTTGTTCCAGTGAATCTAGTTCAAGCCGGAACAGGTGAGTCTTGACGGGACCATCCGCAAGACCCTGCATGAACACCGAAACCAACGTGTGTTCATCCACCGAATTGGAACTTATACAACTCGTAAGATGTCGTATATGTTGCGCGTAAGCGTGTACATCACGCTTACCTTGCTTGAGCTTTAAGAGTTTGGTTCGAGCTCTGAACTCAGCTCTAGGCGATTCAAACGTTTGTCTGAGCCGCGACTTGAAGACTTCCAACGACCCAAACGCATACGGGTCGTGCAACTTGAGCCCCAGTGCCCAAGTCTTGGCACGTCCTGCCAGATTTGATCGGGCAAATGCAACTTGCATATCCCCGTCGTCGATGCGACGCGCCCTTATGGCGTCATCCAATTCGACGAACCATCTCAAGAGGGAGTCCTCTTCGACTCCCCTATACTTGGAGATGTCAATCTTCAAGGTCTCGGGTCGACGCGAGTGCATCGACCCACCAGCAGCAGCCTGCTGCTGTCTCAACAGTTCAAACTGTTGAGCACCCTGTTCTCTCAACAACTCTGCTTGTTGAGAACCTTGTTGGTGAAGCAAGGCTACTTTCTCGCTTTCTGCGTCAAGTTCATTTTGAATGAACTTGGCGATAGTAGCATGTTGGGCATCTCTATTGAGAGCCTCTAACATGACGCTAATAGCATGGATGCCCATGGTTGAACCCATCCGTTCAACCGCATCCCATTCGACATCGCTCAAATGGGAGTAGCCGTCACGCGTAGCGTGAAAGCTTTGGTCATCTTCATCATCCAACATATTATGTTAGATGTGAACGTGGTCCTTGGACGGACTACCAAGTGCTACCAGGTGCAACGGGGCACCCTGAAGCTTGTACTGGTGACAGTACAAGCTACTTATTCTGATAACAGAATAAGGCGGTGCCTCGTAACTTCACGTACACTCGTACGTGCAGAGGAAGACGGTAAGAAGAAGCGAGTACTTGGTTAAAGTAAAAAGTAGAACTGTATTTATAATAGTTAATGTCTGCAATAAATCACTATTTATCTTCATCTAACTATGTCTAAATACAAATGTGTAAATCAGTTATCTGCTCACCACTCATTGCGTGCGTCTGTCTGGCGCGTCTTCGTTGGTTGATATAATGGCCTATATCAACCAATTAGGAACTACTCGTAAGTGCTACAGAATATTGTCCTTATGACAATATTCTGAGAATATAACTCTTATAGTTATATTCTATAAACAATTTCTAATAAATTGTTTTGTAACGATTCACCCCGTTACATACCCTGCACTAGGATATCCTGCAGACCGCTTCTTTCTCGAGTCGCACGCTGCGCTGCCTCCCATTGCGCACGCAGCGAGGAGAAACCCTCCCCCTTTTTACCTTGGTCTCGCTAGGAAGGACTTCACGCTAAGGAAGGGGGGCCAGTTTCTTAGCTCTCCGGAGGGTCTCGTCAGGAAACTGGCCCCCCGATGGGTCTCGTATCTGTCCGTTGTTGCAGCTGGCTGCAGATTGGGAAGTGAACTCACAAACATGTTTGCCTCTCCCCAAATTTTAATTTTCACGCGTTATGAAGGACGCTAAGCACTACACACAGAATAAAAGTACTGATTGTTTGCGATACTGGCTCTTTCGACCTGTGAATATCGTCTTGATACGCACTTAGTTTGACTCGATTTTGCATTTACACAATCTGCCAACGGTGTCCGCGTCCGCTCTTGGCATTGCCGCCACGACCTTGACGTTTATGCCGTTGATTGTGCCAACGAGAGCGCGTCTATATCCATATGGATGGTATCTCCGCACGATACGCTTGACCGCGAAAAAGAATTTGTCATCATCTTGAATCACACTTACCGACAGCTGCACATCTTCCGATTAACAGGGACTGCCTGCTTGAGACTAGATCATCGGAGTGCATGCGGCCAGTACCTTAGTGTTTCTAACAAATCAACGGGCTGTGACAGACCCGCACGAGGTAGACTTTTTCCACAGTATCACGTAGCTGCTCGGGCCAGACTTTCTTCACACTATCACGCAGCTGCTCGGTGGCAATTACGTGGAACGACCACGAACGACGTTGTTGTGAATCATCCATCCTGACCCGGACCACGTCACATGGCAAACCTTTTAGAATGATGACATAGACGATCGTCGGCGCTTCGCACGATCAGCGTGATACAGTACGGAACACAACGACGTTGCCAGCAATTATGCAGAATGCACACGTTGCTCACATCCTTCGATTCGTCGAGCAATGTAGTGTGTGCCTGCGTATTGGATCGTGCCCTTTAGCTTTTTAGATGCCGGATCTGCAGTCCATGACACGATCGACAAAACGTGGCAAGTGACAACGGTCGAAGCGACTTACAAATAACAAGCTGTGTGTAGCTACCACAGTCGTGCTAACGACCCACGCAAACTCGAGTAACTCTCGAGCGAGTGCGCTGAGATCGCGTAGTTTTGCGCACCTGACAGTCCGTTCGTTTCGCACACTTCTACTATCTCCTACGATTATTGCGGTATACTTACACGGGCGTTGAAGGCTAGTAAATATTTGTTCCGGGAAGGACCGGTGCAACTTCTTAACTAAAGACATGACTTCAGCTTGATTGAAACCAATAAACATGCCTTAACATTCCACCCCATGTGCTCTCTCAGCGAGACGCGCGATAAGCTATGCGACGTTCCTAATCACGTCCCAGCACGCTGAGAGCAAATTCCAGATCGAGGAAGTATCACGCAGGGGACGCGCTTCGTTCTGGGCGCATTCCTGTCAACAGCATTGAAGTTGGCCAAAAAGGGACGGTCTCTGGGTCCAAAGATCGCGTGCGTAGGATACAAAATCCGAGTGCAGCGAAAAGACGAAGGAGGTCGTGCATAGAAATGGTGCGCCCAGCGACCTCTCAGAGCCCTCTGATCGTAAAACAGTAAGGCCGCTTGTAGCCTAAGGCCGCTTGATTCGTTTACCCTTCCAATGATACGAGGTGGTCTGACGCGCCTGACTTTGTCCCATTTCCCGGAACCTGGTGCGAGGAAAGACCACAGTCGAGTTCCGCAATGGGGGGATGAAGAATGTCTTTTTATCCCGCTGCATTCGACGTCCAACCGTTGCAGCTTGAGGGATCCATCTCGCCTACCTCCAACCTATCGGCAGCAGCAGCAGCGATAGCGATACATAGGACAGTGCTGGTGGTTGCAACTCTGAAACTCACGTCTGTCGCTCCGTACTCACAACGGAAATAGCTGCTCACAGGGTCAATACCAGCAGCAGCACTAGCAGCAGCAGCACTAGCAGCAGCAGCAACACCGATCAATCGATCCATTGCTCGCTCTCGCTTCAAACATGACGGGCCCATCCGCACCGAAACGTACTTTACCCACGACCCCGGACCACGTCCTGCCTCTGCTCGCACGCAACTGCCGCGACGAGCGCTCGGGCTACGTCTCGTTCGCCCTCAAGCCCGAGATGAGCCGCTACCAACGGCCGTTCACCACGACCACGTACGGGTCCATGCCCGTTCGCCCGTGCACCTCCCGCAAGAGCAGCGGCCTCCCTCTCGTCCCTCGCCCGCGCGAGTCCGACGCCTTGCTTGGCAGTAGCAATAGTAGCAGCAGTAGTGACCACCCGAGCGAGACCGAGAGCGACAGCGACAGCAGCAGCTGCACCACGTCCACATCCCTCCAGTCCATTCTGCGTTTCCCGTCCACCGACTTTTCATGTCGCAGCTTCAAGAAACACGCATCGGTCGAGTTCGCCCTCGAGATCCTTCCCGACGATGACGAAGACAATGGAGATGACGACGTGAAGCGGAGGAGACTGGCCGCGCGCTGTCTGCCGCGTCGCTTGACCCTCGAAGAGAAGACGGCGCTATACCAAGTGCGGCCGGACCTGGAGCTCGTGCCGACGGTGCTGCTTCTGTCGGAGCTCGAGGAGCTCCAGCGGCGGCGTCAGCGCAAACTCATGGTCTCGCTCCTGGGCGCGTCGCTTGTCTTGCTCATGATGATCGTCTTCTACTACCTCGTGGCGCAGATGTAACGATCGTGTCGGGGTGGTGGAAGGTTTCCTTTCCCGCCGCCTGATTGGCTGGTAGCTTGGACGGCGTATTTTATTTTTATTTTCCCGCGTGCTTCATTTCAACCATAGAGAGACGAGTGACGGACGACGTGTCGCGTCCGTGCGGACGTACCGTAATATATTTGTTCCATACCGTACCGTGCCCCTCTCTCATCATCACAAATCCGTCGACGCGCTCCCATTGATATCACACCCACTATGACGCGCCGTCGTGCTGATGCAGTAGAACAGGTCGAACCTCTCCAACCGCATACCGACCAGACATCGAATACCTCCCTTCCCAGTTCTCACTCGGATATCTCCATCGATCAAAGCAGAAGCTCGCGACCTCTCACTCCGTCGTGAGCTCCACCCCATCACTCCCTCCCTCTCTCTCTCCCTTCAAGCTACAGGACGTTTCCGCCAGTCGTAGTGTACCCATGTCGACCGACAGCAGCAGCTTCAAGGATCGCGAGGCCGCGCTCCTGCGCGAACTCTCGGCGTTGTACACGAAACTGAACGAAGTGCGAGACAAGCGCGTGAAAGAAGAGTCCGAGAGCGGCACAGGAAGCGCGAGTGCCAGCGCCAGTACCGAAAACGGCGTCAAAGGCGCGAGACGCCGTCGCCGCGTGCTGCTCGTGACGCGGACGCTGCCGTTCTGGCTCGTGTCGGAGGACGCGCAGTCCCAATGGCGCGCCGAGTTTCGCGCGCACGCGAGTCTCAATGGAGCCATGGAGCTCTTCCAGGCGCTGCACGACAGCTACGACTGTGTGTGGATCGGCTCGGTGCACGGCGAGATCGAGCCAAGCGAACAGAACACGCTAAAGGAGCAGTTGCTGCAAGATCGCAAGTACTACCCCGTGTTTCTCGATGAGAAGCGCGAGAAATTGTACTATCAGGGCTTTTGCAAGACGGTCTTGTGGCCGCTATTCCACTCGTGTCCACCCACAACGGACGACCAGATCGCGCAGCATGAGATGATGGAAGATGGACAGGAAGATGACTGGAGTATGGAGAAGATGTGGCAAGCTTATGTTGCCGCGAATCAGGCGTTTGCCGATGCTGTGCAAGAAGTGTACGAAGAAGGCGACTTGGTCTGGATCCAGGGATACCACTTGACGCTGGTGCCGCAAATGGTGCGGAACCTGTTCCCGAACGACAAGATTTGTCTCGGGTTCTTCATGCACGTGCCGTTTCCGTCGGCTGAGTTGTACCGGATTTTGAACAATCGAGAGGAGATTTTGGCGGGCATGTTGGCTGCCGATCTGATTGGCTTTCAGACGTCGGAGTACGCTCGACATTTTCAAAGCGCGTGTGTTCGCATTTTAGGACTGGAAAGCAGTCACAAGGGCGTGGACTTTAACGGACATTTTGCGCGCGTCTTCGTTTGTCCAGTCGGGATCGACGTCGACAAGTACACTGCGATGATGCAATCGGAAGCAGTTCAGGAGCAAATGAAGCAATTGAAAAGCCAATTTTCAGGGAAGAAAGTGATCCTTGGCGTGGACCAATTGGACCAAACAAAAGGACTCGTGCACAAATTGTTGGCAGTCGAAGAGTTGTTCATCCAGAAACCGGCGCTTGCAAAGAACATGGTCTTTTTGCAGATTGTGACGGGCGCAACGGTATTTGAGTCAGCGTTAGAGTCTCAGGTTGAGTCTCTTGTGTCTCGTATCAACAGCAAGTTGCAAGACATTGGTACTGAAGGCCCTGTGCAGTATTTGCATAAAGAGATTGCTGTCGAGGCTCTAATCGCGCTGTACGCATTGGCTGACGCGCTGTTGATCACACCTATCCGCGACGGTATGAACACGATTCCATTTGGATACATAGTTTGCCGTGAAGCCACGAAGAAGCCTGCTCGCTTGATTCTGAGCGATTTTGCAGGCTGTGCGCAGCCGTTAAGCAAAGCGCGAATTGTTAACCCGTGGAATACTCTGGACGTTACAAGTGCGTTGCTAGAGTCCCTCCAAGACAGTGATGAAGTGGTGAGTGCTCACCAGCACATGTTCCGATACGTGAGTTCCTTCACCTCGCGGCATTGGGCAGATACCTTCCTGGACCAGCTTGACGAGCGTCGTGAAGAAAGCGCGGTTTCGGTGTCCGGGCGTGAGCTGAGTCGTCGGGATATGACCTCAGCTTACTCACGGTCGTCACGTCGATTGATTGTTATTAACTACGAAGGTGTGCTTGCAGTTGAGGCGTCGATTCCGGAACTGGCTTACCCACCACAAGAACTCATCTGGCAGCTGTCTATGCTTACGAATGATCCACGCAATGCTGTTGTTCTTGTGAGTGCGCGTAGTACGTCAGTCTGCGACCAGTGGTTTGCTGAGCTTTCAGGGAATATCATTCTCGCAGCAGAGTATGGCGTGTACGTGAAATGGTCGGGAGACAAGGAATGTTGGCACTGCATGGTGCCTGATATGGATACAAGTTGGTGGGAACACGTCGTACCGTTGCTCGAGTACTACACCGAGCGTACTCCTGGTGCGTACATCGAGCGAAAAGATAGTTCGGTGGCGTGGCATTACCGTGATTGCGATTTGGATCACGGGATATGGCAAGCGAGTGAGCTCTTGGTCTCCCTGCGTGAGATCACGAGGTATCTCCCGGTGTCCGTGTATCCAGGCAATCGGTATCTGGAGGTGCGACCGCAGAAGGTCAGCAAAGCTGCACTGTTTGAGCGCATATGGGAATTCATGAATTGGTCGTCGCTGTTTCCTCACAAGGACCCAGTCACGACAGACTATTTTGGAGTACCGGTATACCCACCTCCGTCTCCGATGATGAGGCCGCGTGGACATCAAAGTGAACTGCCTGACGAGTGCGATCTAGGAGCACCGGTTCCTGCGGGTTCTCAGCTCACAGGGTCTGGTGGAGATCGGAAGGATACAGGGACTCACGTCGTTGTGAGCGATGCGGTGGCGCCGGGTCAAGTGGAAGGAGGAGATGCGACGCAGCCGGTTGATTTTGTTCTCGTGATCGCATCGGGTGACGACCGAACCGATGAGGATTTGTTTGCATTCCTTATTCCTCCGCCAATTGATCTCGAAGCGTATTCCCGACAACTCGAAAACGACGGTACCTCTGACGCGCATCGGAGTGTTGTCCAAGATGAGGAGTACAACGGAAAAGAAACAGGTCCATCGTGTCTCGGCCCTGTCATTGATGACTCGCCCAACAAGACATTCCAGCGACTGTTAGAGCGAGACGGAGGATCCACATCGCTTGATAACGCATCTGGAAAGCGAGGGTCATCACTAGCTCGGCTATCTTCGCTACAAAATGTTGCGGAACCAGCGATGCTGGGAAAAGATATGACAAAGACGACATCGCGTGCCGACCCTCCGACCCCGGAAGGTGGCGCCAAGATGTTTCCAGTGTCGACGCACAACCGATCGTATAATGCGCTTCGGAGCGAAATTGCTGAGAGAAGCAAAGTAACTAGTCGTGACTTTCCACCGTCAGCTGCTTTGTTCAAGGCGATGAAGGCGAAGTACGGCGAGAGTGTAGGCCTTCACCGACTTCCGGATACTGTGGCGGCCTGTTGGGCACTTGTTTGCCCGCCTACCGCGCCTCTGAAACCAAAGAAGGGTGTTAAACCAGAGGACGATAGTCGGCTGGCGTCAATGGAAGAGAAGATTTCCACTACTGAGAATATAGTGGCAACTCAAGGCTCGAAGGGTTCGGCAGCGGGTGGTGGTGTTATAATAAACACGTCAGCCAGCAGCGGATCAGCCGATTGCCAGTCTAATGGTAATGACGGCGGTGAGAACTATGGCAACCCATCGAGAAGTAGCCAAGGCGAGCGTCAAGACATGGAACTCTGTGATGGAAAAGCAGCGGGGCAAAGTGAAGTACCTGTTAGCCTAACGGCGTCCATGTCTGTGGATGATGTGGATGATGGCCGCTACCGTTTCCCTGTCAACACGTTTGTTTGCACACTCGGCCGCAAAGTCTCTCAGGCGCCATACTACATCAAGAACTCGGGCGATTTATTCCAACTGGTGCAAGAGATGGGCATGAGCAGCCATATTCGAAAGCAGCGCATGCTCTCGGTGGACAGCACTGGACGTAACTAGTGCCGGCAATCTCTGCACGTGAAGACCCGCGCGACATTTGTCATGAACGGCAGCAAACTGGTCGTGCTACCCGATATGTGACTTGCGTGTGTCTTTGCTGCAATTGTCCGGTGCAGCGTGTTGGTAACTTGGGTTTGTCATGTGGAGGGATGGATCAAAGTGAGAGGCGAAGAAGAGTGCGCATGTCCCGTTGCGATTGTGTCGATCAAGGCCACAGAACAAAACAGCGACGACAAGGAGTTTGTGTTGGTAGGACCTGGCAGAGCTGCTTAGGTATTGTTGCACAAAAAGCTTCAGAAGAGATTCGTACCAGCAAGTGATCAATGACCTAATGTGTCTTCATACCTTGCAAGCCCTCGATCGTTGAATGCACATATAGCAGCGGTACATACGCAATGTAGCACACGTGAGTATTCGTACGCGAAGGCTGGTACAAATGGCTAAAATGCGCAATTGTCTGGTGCTACTGTCGTCGTCTCTGGCTTTCAAGTCACGACATCGCGCAATCTTAGACTCGACGGTGCCCCCAACTAAGAATAGTCGATCTCTAGTTATCTATAAGCTGAGCGTAAATATCCCGCCATGACCACGGACACCCGAGCAAAAAGCCCATCGCTACGTTGACGTATATTCTCAAATCTTATATCAGCTGCACTTTTGTCCAATCCCGTTCGACCACCTGGAGCACTCGTTATCTTCTGACTCTCTCGATGTTCACACTCGAAAAGCTCCGATACCGATGAAGTGGACAGCGATACTCGTAGCCGCAGTACTGACGGCGGCTCAGGCGCAGGCGAAAGACGATCTCCCACCTGATGCTCAGCTGCGTATCGGCGTCAAGTACCGTCCAGAGGAGTGCACGGTGAAGAGCCAGGTGGGCGACAAGCTGTCCATGCACTACACGGGTACACTGCGCAAGGACGGCTCCAAGTTTGACTCGAGCGTGGACCGGGACCAGCCATTTGACTTCGAGCTCGGCGCTGGACACGTCATTAAGGTTGTTTCGAGGCAGCTATTTGGAGTCTTGATAACAGCATAGTCGGCTATACAGCCGCGTAAATTGTGCACTGACTTATTTTTGACTGTGCATGGATACATTGGGAATGGATGATTTTTGAACAGGGTTGGGACCGAGGGTACGTTGACTAGTGCTGTTAGCAAAGTTCTTCGGAGGCTGCTTCAAGGCGTGTCTGGCGAGGGTGATAGTGCTAAGGATGATGATGTGTGTGTGTGTGTGGGATTGTTTGCTTGTTTGCTGCTCGTTGCAGACTTGTGTCCATGTGCATTGGGTACGTGCGAGTGTTTACTGCAGCTGTGGGTGATGTGATCCTGCACTTTTGCTGACGTTTGTCTGTCTGTTGTGTGTGTTCTTGTTGTTTCTCTCCTTCTGCTGACGTGCAGTGAGAAGCGTCGTCTGACGATTCCGTCGGACTTGGCGTATGGTGACCATGGATCGCCCCCGAAGATTCCTGCCAAGGCGACGCTGGTATTTGACGTTGAGCTGCTGGACATTACGCGCGACTCCGATGAGCTGTAGACACCCAGAAGCAAGTGCTCGTTATGGCAATAGCTGCTTGTAGCGGCTTGCAGCTAAGCGGAGAGAGACCGGTCTCCGCGTTGGAAGGCATCGCGCTTTTTTGGTTGCTGGGTGTACCTATTTGCGAACGTGCTGCACCACGTTGCCTATAAAGTGTCGAGCTCTCCTCGTCGATGATCGTAAATCAGTACATTGAATTGATGCTGTAGCCACTTAAACCACCTATTTTGTAGCGAACTTTCGCCGCACCTAGCCGACGTTCACAAATGGACCCACCCCCAACAAAGAAGCGACGTGCTCCGACTGATCTGCTTCCGTGTCCTCCTGTGAGCGACACAAGCCGCACCGGTACCTCTAGACACGCAGAATATGACGCCGAGACGATGCAGCGGCAACTGGAGCTTTTCATTCGCAGCGAAGACGTATCTTCGGCTCAGATTTTAGGCGACTTCCTAGTCGCTCTCGCTCCATCTGATTCCAAGGGTCAGAGCCGTAAAGCAGTACTTTGCTACGTTACAATGATACATTCGTTAACTGTGTATATGAATCACGGATTGTTCTGAAGTAGCAGCAAAGAATGGCGGCGTCGACGAGAAGCTACCGTCTGCTTTCCACGCTACAACGCTGCGTCTATTTGCAGATTTGATGCTCGTTAGGCGCGAGTTCAAACGCGCTATTGTGAGCTGCATACAAACTACTACAATGGAAGCTGTTCAGGTTGGGTTCTCAGTGGAATGTTGATGTGTTCTTTTCATTCCCTTGCTTGGTGCAGCGCTACTATCACCGGAGCTGTCGTGATATGACCGCCGTGACACATGAACAAGAGCTTGAGGTTAAGCTGAAGGTGGCCAGGTGCTACGTGCACTTGGGATGTATTTATGAAGCTATTGAAGTGGTACGATGAGGTGAAAGCGCTGGTTGAAACACACTTTTGTTGACGGCTGTAGTAGACTGAATGGTGGCGTTCGGAAATGTTGTGCTGCGCTTCAGCTTCAATCAACGCTGCAAGGCGAAAGGAGCGTCAGTATGAACTTGCTGCTCGGAAGGTTGTATATGGACGAAGGGCTGCAAAACAAAGCGGAGGAGAGCTACACGACAGCGCTCAGACAGAATCCGTACGCACTGGAAGCAGCCGTAGCGCTCACGAAACTGGCCGCGGCGAAAGATACACCCTTGGATTCGATCGCAGGACCGAGTGGTAGAACAAAGATGGTCACGAGTTCCGGACAATCAAGTGTTGATGTACCTGCGAGACGACCTGAGATTGACCAATTTTATCTTGAGAATCTGATGACACGAGAAGCAGACGACGGTGGGCTCACTCAGTTAAATATGGCGTGGATGCAGACATTAGTGGCAGCTCACATGGAAGCTGAACGGGGCAATCACCGAAGTACGTTGATGGTATATCGATTCGCGTTGTGGACACCCTGGACGATGTAACTGACTGACGTTCGCTGATCAGAAGCCGTCGAGTTGTTAACTGTGTTAGATCGCTTTTTCCCTAAGAATCTGCATTGTTTGCTACACAAAGCCGCATTGGAGGTTGATCAGGAGCTGCTTCATCAAGCCTACGTTACGTTTAAGCGTGCACGACAAGTCGACGACTTGAACGTGACGTTCATGGACCGCTACGCTGACTGCTTACGAAAAGGAAATTCATGTACGAACCTCAATGATCTGGTGCAGGAGCTGTGTGCGATAAGTAAGACTTGTCCGGAGTCGTGGCTTGCTGCTGCATACTACAATGACGTTAAGGGCGACTACGAGACAGCGTTGCAGTTTTGTGAGCGCGCCATCGAGGGACGAGATTGTTACGCACCTGCCCATTTGCTGCGAGGAGAGATCTTGTTGCGAATGCATCGTCCACAGCCTGCACTGAAAGCATTCTGGACTTCTTGCCGACTTAAGCGGTCATTGGAAGCGTATACTGGCATAATCATGAGCTACTGCGACCTGTATGCTGTAGGTGTGAACCGGTACAAGGAAGCTTTTGCTACTGCCAAAAGCGTCGTGAAGCTGTTTCCGAAGAAGGCACAAAGTTTTGTATTGTTCGGCAGCGTACTTGCTCTCAGCCCGGAGCACCGAAGTCAAGCGCGACAGGCTCTACAAAAGGCGCTAGCGATGGAACCACGCAAGCTTTCGACCAGTTTTGCGCTTGCTGATCTGCTAGTAGAGGATGGCGATTTACGGGGCGCCATTGAGAGGTACGATCACGATTTTTTTGTCTTTGCTCTTGTGCGGCCGCGCTTTCGATCTGAGTTGCCTTGGCGTTTTTCTCTCTGTAGACTGCTAGCACTCAGCGAGCGTTATCCGCGAGAAGAAGTCTTTACTAAACTTGCGTACGTGTACTCGGCGGACAAACAATTCGCCGAGGCACTCAAATACTTTCACCAAGCATTGAGACTCAACCCAGGATCAACGGAGGCGTTACAAGGTCTGGATCGCCTTGAGAAGTTGATGCGTGGCGAAGACCCGGACGAGCTCAGCAATTCGATGGAGCAAATAGACGCAGAGGATCACGAGGAGTCAATGGAGGCTCGCGAGTACACGTCACCATAGAGAAGCACCGAGCGGGAACATGGTTACGATACGTATCGTTGGCAACAATGTTGGCGTCTTGACACCAGCAACTCATCTGGCTGTGGATTGTACAACGCCAAGTTCGTCAAAATCAGTTGGTGAACAGCTCAACGGGGAAGGCTTGTGATACACAACCTTGTTCCATCTGAAAGTGTGCCTGGCAGAGGAAGTTTCTTACAAACGCAAGCACTGCGAAGACGTTTGAAAAGCGGTCGGGGTCTATGTCCGCGACGCATTTGAAACGCTCCCCCACGTGCATCGACAAGTAAACCAACTAACGGTGAGACGAGCCAAACCGTTCAAATGACGGACAGTAAACGTGCTATTTGCTTTGATTGAATTACACATGAACTCGATCTTTTCCGGTGGTAAGACACACGTGGTCGACAATATCCGCATGGTTCGGCGACCAGCGCGACACGTACTTGAGCTTTCCGTCAATTCTACTGTTCTCGAAAACTTACGAACAGTTGTTTCGACCGCAACTTGAAGCTCCAGAAGACGAAGACGACGACCAAAAAACTCCATCAATCAACCAGACAGCCGACTCGACAACAACCAAACAAAAACTTGACTCGGGTCGGCTCCTGTCCGTGTAACGGCTGCTGTCAGCCAACCAGCCAATCGCATCGCCCGACTATGCACCACTGACGGACCCGACCCCGTGACAGGCCAATCACTCACTCGCTCGGTCGTTCATTTGCTAATTTACCGCCTCGAGTCGCCACCAAGTGAGTGAGTGACTGACTGACTGACTGCCACTCAGTTGAACAGCGCGACCACTAGCACTACTTCACACATGGCTCTGTTCCTCCAAAGCGCGTGCATTCGCAGTCGTACCGTGCTCTTCACTGCCTTTCGATCCACTCGCAGACTCCGTCCCGACCGCTGCATGAGCACACAGACTGCCGCTCGTGCAGTGGTCGTGCCAACCCACATGGCTACAGTCTCTTCAGCTGGACCTGCTGCACCTCCTGAGCTCTCGCAGCTGCAGCTTAACTCAGCAACTCTCACGCAGCTCCAGAGGCAGATCCAGCGACTTGGAGACGGGCCCAGCAGTCCACGTGACGCCTTTTACGTCGTGGACACGGCGGCCATTGAAGACCGGTTCAACCTCTGGCGCGAGTACCTGCCGAATGTTCGACCGTACTACGCAGTCAAGTGTAACCCGGACTTGGCCTTGATTGAGAGCTTGGCTCGACTGGGTGCAGGCTTTGACTGTGCGAGCCAGACAGAGATCCGCTCCGTGCTTGGAACGGGCGTCGCAGCTCGTGATATTATCTACGCCAACCCGTGCAAACAAGGCTCGCAGATTGCGTACGCCCGCTCTCAGGGCGTTGACGTCATGACGTTTGACTCATTGGATGAACTTGTCAAGATCCAGGTCATTAGTCCTCATGCGAAGCTCGTGTTGCGGCTGTACGTGGACGACTCGGACTCGATCTGCCGGCTGGGCACGAAATTTGGAGCCATGATCCATGATGTCCCGGATTTGTTGAACCAAGCAAAGATGCTGAATCTGGACGTTGTGGGCGTCAGTTTCCACGTTGGAAGTGGCTGTTTCAATGTCGAAGCCTATGCCAATGCAGTTGCTCGGGCCCGCAAAGTGTTTGACATTGGCCACGCACATGGGCTTAATTTTGAGTTGCTGGATATTGGTGGCGGCTTTCCCGGTACGGAGAATGGACCGATTCGGTTTGAAGACTGCGCTCGCGAGCTCAAGAAGTCGTTGGCTCGTCACTTCCCGCGAGACAGTGGTGTTCGGGTTATCTCGGAGCCAGGCCGCTTCTTTGCGGCGTCTACTCACACATTGGCGGTTAATGTTGTTGGCCGCAAGGTGGCACCGGCTTTGGATGTCCCGGGTCAACCTCCTGTACTTGTCAGTGCTGCTAGTGCTGGAGCAGATCAAGCACCCAACTATATGTATTTCGTAAACGATGGCTTGTACGCCTCGTTCAACTGCATGGTGTACGACCACCCGTCGATCCAGCCCGTGATCATGTCGGATGCTGCCTCGCTAGAAGCCACGCCCATGTACAAAGCTAGTCTCTGGGGTCCCACGTGTGACGGCATGGACTGCATCATGAAAGAGGTGGAATTGCCGCTGATGGACGTCGGACAGTGGATCGTGTTTCCGAGCATGGGGGCGTACACTTGTGCAGCCGGCTCGGACTTTAACGGTTTCCAGCGTCCACAGAAAATCTATTTCGACTCGCACTGCGTGGTGGATGACCAGCAGCAGCAATTTGTGTACTAGATGGACTACATGAACTCTCGACGAAGAGTAATGAGATAGAGCAAGGACAAGATGCCGTGGCAAACATCGAGGTGGCGCTGCGAGGTCTCGGACCTACAGGATTGACTATTCAGATGCCAGCAACAGGGTCTACCAGTTCTTTCAACAGAGGACGAAGAGCTCAGCCTCGAGGGTAGAACAAGCGAGAGAGGGTGCCCTGTTACTACGACTGTTTTCCTATTATAAAGGTCCAAGTGCAATAGCACGCACTAACGCGAATACATTGACCCCGTAGATGATGCGTAGCACACCGACAGCTGAGCTGATTAGACGTACAATAGCAGCAAAGGTCTTCGTTGCTGCAATTACTTGCTCACACATCGTGATATCTTCATTGCTTACATCTCTCCCTATCGCTAAATTCTCCAAGTGTCATCAAACATCGGGCGCTTCCTGATTGCAGTTGGCCATTCGTTCCCTATCTTCGATGCATGCTTCGACTCTGGACATCGACAAACCAGCGATAGCCCGTCATGTCTCCTTAGACATGAACAATCAGCAGCACCAGCTATGCAAGCTCCTTGTCTAGTCCTCGAAAGTGGGCTGGCCTGCGCACCCATGTACGAGGCAGCACTTCATCGTTCGTAGCTAGACGCAGTCCACGGCTTTCGTCGCGCACCAGCAAGTGTTTCTTCTTGGTAGTAGTGTCCTTCACCGCTAAACGGAACTTGGCTTTCGTCTCGCCGTATTGGAGATTCGCAAAGCTCTTTTGCACTTCAATCTTATTGTTTCCTGCCAACCGCTGCAATTCGAGCGCCTCCTCCGGGTACAACTGGTCCGTGTGCCCATGCTTCCCCATACGTCGCACAAGCGGCGGGTACCCCTCAAACTCATCACTTAGGAAGAAAAAATCGGGGTTCCGAAATGCATCGTCGTCAATCCCCATCAGCATCGCCTCCTCGCGGACATCCAGCTCCTCATCCGGCTCCGTCGCCTCCTCTTCTTGACGAGCACGTTTTGTCAAGCGTATCACCTCCTTCGAATTGCCAGCAGCTTCCGCTTCAGCCAGTTTTCTGGCCTGCTCATCTATCTCACGCTGCGCCTTGGCCTTCACTTCTTGAACCTTCAAGCGAAACTCTTCAGGCGAGAGCTCTGCTTCCATGCGCTTCATCCAGATAATAGCTTCCACACGAGGCTTGGACAGGTGGAACTTGCGTGCCAAGACCGTCGAGGTCCACCGCAGAGGGTTCTCCATAAACAGCTCCATCACGAGCTCGTCCAGCTCGTCGTTCTCCATCACTCCGCCTCGATTCACGTCCGGAATCGTGTCCACTTCAATGTCGCCATCTCGTCCCTCACTGTCGTCGTCCTCGTCCTCGTCCCGTTCCTCTTCCTCCTCTCCATCTTCGTCTCCACTGCCTCGTCCCTCACCACGCGCGTCCCTCTCCTTCTCCTTGTCCGCCAGACTCAAGAAGCGCGACGGCGTAGACTTGGACGACGAAGAAAAGCGCTTCAAGCCACGGACACGCAGAGCAAGACACGGCCAATCGAATGCTGTACGAAGCGTCAGTACCCCACGTCCAGAACTGCTCCAACGCGCGGCAGGACGCGCGAGGACGTGGCGCCACATTTTAATTCCGAAAAAGGAGCAAACGCTGTGACGTGAATGGCTCCAAGCGTCTGGAGGTCAGGGGTTCTACCGGTTTTTAGCGATAGAAACCGGTATGGGATGGATTACGTACCGAGGGATCGAGACCGGACGAAACCGGTTTTCATTCAGGCCGAATTCAGTGCCCCATTGGTCCGAATTCGGTCTCATGGAGCGGTATCAGCCGCGGGTCGCACGCGTCTTGCGTCGCCACTTGGTGCTCGCCTCGTTTCTGCTCACCACGTCCATTATTGCCATTATTGTCTATCAAACGACTGGTGGCGGGAAACCGAAAGCGAGCGTCTATGACGCGCCTGTCCTCAATGCTGTGGACCTCGAAGGTCCCGACCGGCCGCGCAGTCTCTGGTCCCCTACTGAATTCGAGTGTTTAGGGTGGCGGGCGACCCACGAGTGCGACCCGTACGGCCCACGGGACGAAGCCCGGGACCGGAAATGTGACGAGCCCATGCCCCGCACCAGCGGTTACTGTGAGGTCCGGAACCGCACGAGCGGCGCAATTCTCCGCGTTATGTTGGCCACGTGCAAGAGCTGGCAGTGGTACCTTGTACCATCGCTGTCCTGTACCGACGCGCAGCAGTTTACCGATTTTAGTATACTCGCTGCAGAGTATACGCACCCGCCCCCGATTGGACAAAATGGGCAGCTGCTGGAAAAAGATGTTAAAAATGATACGGATGTTGAAGTTGATAAGCGAGGGGTGGTCATGATTGCGTATCCTCAAGCTATGGCGGGATTGTACGCGATTGTCCGGACTTTGCGGTTATTAGGATGTGCCTTGGCTGTGGAAGTGTGGATTGACACGAGAGAAGTGCGGGCTACTCATTCTGTGCTTGAGGAGCTCCAGGAGCACTATAACGTGCTCGTGCGAGTCATTCAAGACCCGAATGCAACTAAATATCATGCTAAGCCCTATGCAATCTACCACTCGAGATTTGAGAGCGTGCTCTGGTTGGACTCGGACAATATACCCGTACGTGACCCGACGTACTTGTTCGACACGCCCGAGTTTGTCAAGCACGGCGCGATCTTCTGGCCGGATTTCTGGCGACCAGCGATTGACACGCCTTTTAATGTCCACGAGCAGAGTGTTTTGTGGACGCTGCTGGACATGCCGTTTACTGACATGTTTGAGCAAGAGAGCGGGCAATTGTTGGTGAACCGCTCGCGCTCGCAAGCTGCACTTTCGAAGCTGATGTTTTACTCATCCCATATGCCGCGGCTACTGACAGATTGGCGACTTGTCTGGGGCGACAAAGACTTGTTTCGTCTGGCGTGGCTGAACACGTCTACATCTTTTTATATGGTGCAGCATCTCGTAGCGCTCGGGGGACTTTACGATGCCGACGAAGACTTTTTCTGTGGAGTCTCCATGATTCAGCGAGATCCGGTGGGTAACATCGTGTTCTTGCATCGCAACCAGGCAAAACTAAGTGGACGTCGTGATCAGAAGCCGCTGATCTTGTATTTGCAGAAGTTCACGGGTGGTGATGGTACAGCAGCTTCATTTAAATGGGACCTGGATAAGTATCGTGTGCAATGCAAGATGCATCGACTCGGACAGTACGTCTGCTTTATGTTGAATCCACACACACCGGACGGCAGTGTCACTCCGTCACTGGTTCTTAGCCTCGAGAAGACAAAGTACGCGCAAATCGAGCAGTATGCTATTGGCTTTTCGATCGAAGGCCGTGGGCTTTTCAATAAAGAAGAAGAGGCCGAGGTGGCAAAAACGGAGGCTGACGTGCAAGTGACGCGGGATAAGGAGGCTGCTTCAGCTTTTAGAGCGCGCCAACAGTCAAAGTATCATCGGCGTGCAATGTATGGGGTTGTTGCTTTCGCCACCTTGGGGCTGTGGCTGCGATGGCAATGGATACAACGTTGCAAGAAGAGCTGTCCTAGGCTTGAAACGAAGGATCCTTCTGTGTCATCATCGGTCGAGCCGTCGTTCTCCCACGTTGCTTTGGCAGTCGTCCCTGCTTCTACTGAAGCTTTTGGGTCTTCCTCCGCCCTGTTTTCTGGTACGACACATAACCCTCGACGACGCAATTCGTCTTTTCAACTTGATGACGAATGACAGCCATGATGAAATCAATCGATAAAGCTTTGATGAGCCATGTGCATCTGTCTAGTGATACATTGCAACAAGCGCCGGAGATCGAAGTTGCAAAGGAAAGGCTTCCACTGCTGAGCCATGTGCATCTGTCTCGTGATGCATTGAAACAAGCGCTGGAGATCGAAGTTGCAAAGGGAAGACTTCCACTCCATTGTACCTACATGTGGTACATTATGAACACCAGCACAATGATGGAAAACAACGAAGATGCGACTCAAGCCAACATCGCTACCTAGGCGAAGTGAACCTGCTGGTCTGTGCGTCTGACCAGAACAAATGTGTTGACGTGGCTGACAGCGACTTGACCATTCAAAGCTTGTCGTGCGCAGTGGGGGTGTACTTTCACCAAAGCTTGAAAATGTACAAAGCTAAAGGGCTGAGCCCGAATCGCTCGGCATTCTTGTTGGATTTAAAGCCGTGCCTAATAGGTTACGTGTAAGCTACAGCTTCATTGCTTTGAGCGAGCACATGGCGGTACGAGCAACAAAATAGTTGTCTGCGCGTTACCACGAGAATTTTGTTGAAGTGCGGATGCAGCATGTCGAGGTAAAGATTTGCAGTTCTGACCTTCACAGCGCATGAGTGTTCGGCGGTGTGCCTAGAAACTTCCGGGATATCCAACTGTTTCACTGATATTGCACGCCATGTCGTAGACATATGATGCTTTCCAACATTCTACAGGAATCGAAAACGGTAGGTTCGTCACGGAGAGACTCCCGTGCGAGTCATCAAAAGCTGTATTCACTATGAATTTGCATCCGTTGCTTTTTTGTAGTCCGCTTAGCTGGGCGTGTACGTGGTTGCGGCTACTGGTACACATCGTGCTCGACACTCAGGAGCAGTGAAAGTCTCGCACACACCGGCAAACAGTTGACGTGAAGCGGTTTCATTCGAAGTAATTGATCTACTCAAATAGTAATGTCATCTATTCTCTCGGTGGCAGATGAACCTCCCACAATTTCATCGAGATTTATTGTTAAATACCAAACCCCGCTTTTTACTAAATACATTCCGTACACCACACCCGTTCAAAACCACACTTTGTTTTGTACGACAAATATCGCGTCTATCTATCTCTGTACGACCACGATCGCACGACAATCTACATCTGTCGTACAAATGATAAGTAACTTATCATGTAATTTCTTTAGCACACAATAGACGATTGAAACTCTTTGCTTTCGTAGGCGACTTGATTGACGACCACAACGCACTCGTCGCTACATGTCAGATACATCCAAATGGCCATTTGCTTTCTCCAAGACCTTTCAACAGCCATGTTCAATTAAGAAAGGCACAAAAATGAATGAAACAAAAGGTCACGTTTCACCGAACATAATCGGATACATACATCGCAGCGAAAAAAACCACTGCGAACGATACATTGCATCATACGTCTATATGTATTTGAGATCTGGCCTATCCTGGATCTGCGTTAGAACAATAATTGTTGGTCAAATAAGGAATAAGTGTACAGCTACACGACACGTATCCGACCTCCATTGTAACGGGGTGAGCATGTTACACGTAATTAATCCTTGATACGTGTTAGTTAGAATATTATCATTGTGGTTAATTATGCTCGTGAATATTGCCATAAGAGGTAATATTCATAAACACTTGCCGTTTTGTAGCTGATTTGGGTCATCATCTCAGCCAGCTCTAGCGGTCCAATTAACGATGGACGCGCGCAATGAGGGGTGAGCAATACTTTTAGCACATATTTTTGCAGATAGATATAATCAAGTTAGGACTAAAACATGGGTGAATGATCAGGACTAGATTATTATTTTTACAATTTTACTTTTACCAGAAACTAGTCAGTTTTCAATGCTTTCCCTTCCTCTGCATACTTAACAGAGGTGGTGAGGCACCGATCACGCTAATATCGGTGATAGTAGCTCATACTGGTTGTCCAGTGTGTTGCTCTAGTGCCCCGTTACACCTGGTACCACTTTGTATTCCATCCGAAGACCACAAAACCCATTCATTATGAACATGTTGACGAATAGAGGCGACGACATCTTTCACGGCGCCTGTGAAAGCTACTCTTATATGAGTGAGTGATGTTGCATAGAGCGCGATTGAACAAATGAGTTCGACCGTTGTCGAAGAAGCTGTCTGGCCTCTGCTATCCTCAAGGGATAGGGACCAGCAGCATTACATAACCGCCAATTTCTTGCAACGAGAACTTGACGTGTCAAGACCTGAATTGGCCCTGCTGCATCAGCAAGTTCAACATGAGCACCTAAGACATCAAAAGTATCAATCTGCTTCTGCAGCGTCGACGCTCACGCGTCAACGCTAGACTCTTAATTTAGAAGTCTCCAAATACTGGGGGGGTCGAGGATGACTTCCTGTTGAAATGGTTCCTCAAAGTGGGAGAATACATTAAGGCTTGCCACATTGGAGATAAGAAATTCAAGTTGCATTTGTCAAATTGAATTCGTCAGGGTATGCCATGAAATAGGCACTGATACGTTAATTACACGATCCAAACGTGTTTGGATTGCTGGCGGTCATTCTGACTCTGTTTAGCCAAAACTTTAAGCCGCCAAGAGCTGAGTTCAGGACTCTGTCAAAGCTCTTAAAGATAAAACAAGGTAATCGTGACGGTAACGCCTGTGTTATGCACCTTCGTTGCCTTGCAAGTTGCATGATAGCGAGCCCCGTAAGTGAATTTGTGGTAATCACAATATTCTTATAGGACGTTACAGATGATTCCGTGAGGAATCACCTGCTCCGCATAGAGCTGAAGTCGCTTGAAAAGGAATTCTTGCGGTGCAAGTGGACTTTAGCGTTAGACGGTCTCACACTAGTCTGACCCCCTATCGTCCTTCGCGACGAGTAGAGTTGGGAGGTCCAGAACCGATGGATATCTGCAGTGTTGATAGCGAGAGACCTAGCTCTTCAAAGAGCAAGTGATTGCAAAAGTGCAGTCGCCACCAGAAGGTAAAGTACTACGCCTACGACTGTAAGGCTTTACGCTCAGTGTCTCGAAAACCTACGCGAAGTGATCAACCGTCTGCCAAGAAGGGCAAAGGACGCGGGTCCGAAGCTGTTTCAAGATCACAACAGTGTGGCGGAACGTCAAAAAAAACGGTCGGGGTAAGAAGCGACGGATCGCCCTAACGATTCTATCAGCCTTAATAGAATGTGCAAACCTATTAATAAAAGTTGCTCCAGACTCAAAATCCTTGTGTGTCTCTGTACTTGGTGATAAGGTACCTCTCATCACTTAAAGTAAGAAGTGACAAACTATTTGTGGTGGAGTGAGATTCTCTCATTTACGTAGCGATCCTGGCTCTTTACTTGCGCCCGAACGACCGAATAACGGAGGGGGTACTCCGGACCGTGTGTCTTATCTTGTCTTGTTCCTTCTCACGTTGCGTACCCGTCGGCGGGCGGTTGCACTCTTCTAGGTGTCTTGAGGTCGATGTCTTGTCTTGACCGAGTTGCGGATAGGTGGGGTGTGGTCGCGTGGTAATTCTTCACACGACCAACGGTTACTGGTGGCACTCTCCTAGAGTTGCCTAACCTTCCTTGAGGTCGCCTTGCCCAAATGTAGATACTTGATTCCCCTTGTCCTTCTGACCACTTGATCCGTCTGAAGACCTTGCCGTGTATGCTTGCCGCGTTCAATCGCGGGCTAACTTGAATGAGTATACTTGTCCCTAGCCAAGCAATCTAGGGACAAACCTTGAGCAATCACGCAGACAGTAAACCTAGTACGTCGGGTGGCCACTAGTATTCCAGCCCGGAGGAATGCTGAAGCGCGTCTTTTGTAGGAAAATCAATACTAGTCGCTATTAACCTGTTAGGGGCTAGAACTACGTTTACACTTCTCTTTATCTCAGTTTTCTGCTACGCTTTTTGCCTGACACCACCCATTCCCTGTGCTTGAAGTAAACCACCTTAACTGCCAACATGACCGCTGGTCATCTTGCAGTGACCGTGACCACTGGTCATCTTGCAGTGACCGTGACCACTGGTCACCCATCGTGACCATGACCACTGGTCACCCATCGTGACCGTGACCACTGGTCACCCATAGTGATTATGACCACTGGTCGCCCATGGTGACCATGACCGGTCAGTCATTCGTCGTGACCCTAACCGGTGGTCATAATCTGTGACCGCCACTGATGACTTGCAAACCGTCCAGCTTATCGTTGGAGATTTCTGTAGCAGTCAGTCCCAAGACCGTCATGACCGGTCCCACATGCACTTACGAGGTGATCAAGGCGATTTTCAGGATTTCCTTTGACCACTTCACCACAGTCGTCCCCTGCTCTGTTAGTCGGCAGTCGGTGCCGATCTGGCTTAATCCCTTTTGATCTGCCCCTTCCTGATCATTGCTGGAGATGTCGCCTCCATCTCACCCGGCCGTTGAACAACCCCTTTCTTCGGGTTCGACGTCTCCTCAGCTGACTCTGCTGCGGTCGGCCACTCCTGCTCCTGATGACGAAGATTACACAGGCCTTGAACCAGACGCGACCGAGCCTAACCAAGCCGGCCCCGCTCCGGCTGATCACCTCGCCGACCCTGTTGGCTTTTCGGTCGGATCTGTTGACGCCCCGGCGGATGCTTCTTCTGCCGATGCTGACGTGGGTAATGACCAAGTGCATGACGTGGACACGACCGAGGTTGACCAGTTAGCTAAGGAGCGTGAAGGCTTACGGCGAGCGGTAGCGGAACGTGAGCAGCTTGTTGCTCCACTGCGGATAGGTTTCGATGCGCTTGCTCGCAGCTTTGCACAACGTGTTCGGGAGCTTGAACAATTGAAAACAGAGCGCGCTTTAAGCCACCAAGAGTTACACCGCTTGCGCTCCTCCCATGCTGCTCCTATCGAGGAATTAGCACTGTTGAGAGCAGAACGGGATTGCCTACTCGCGACCGCCAGGCCCAGCTCAACCATCTAATCAACTTCGTCATGGGGCTTCTACCGTCGTTGGGGCTCGCCTATGATAAGCGGAGGATAGAGCAGTCAGCGGCCGATCCTGTGCCACCTTCGAACAAGCGTGCGCGCGTTATGGATACCTCGAGTTCGGCTTCTAGGTCCCCATCTGCCGTGGTACCGCCTGTAGACCATGTGACCCAACAGCGATCCGCTTCAAATTCCCCCGGTCACCCTCGCCTTGCGGTCGGACCAGATTCTCCTGCCAGCCCTTCCTCTACGGTCGCAGGGCCCGCCGGCCCAATTACCAATTTACGATAGGTATCCACTCACCTTAAGTCCCGGCAGGCGTCTCGTCCTCGCCTCGACGTCCCCAAGATTCCAGCATGTACGACCAGAAAATTGTCCAAGCCCAAGACCGTGACCACGCCACCGTCTGTTATGACTCGGCGGTCACAGAAGCAAACACGAGTGCGTTTCCCCTCCGCATCTCATGCGTAGGATAGCGACGGCTCCGTAGAATCTGCTGACGAGGTCATGCTCATCGCACTGTCACGGTCACGTTCTTCCGTTCGACGGCGGTCTTCTGCCTCGACCACAAGATCTGCTGATGGGTTGGCTGACACGCCGATCGAGATCAATCCAGCCAGTCATACACCCGCGACTCGTCCGGCTCCGTCAAGACGTGATACTCGTACTTCATCGTCCGACTCCAGGTCGCCGCCCATCGCTGCGACACCTACGACCGCAGAGCTACCCAGGGCGTCCGACGAGTCCGATGGGTCGGTGAGGGTACCAAGCTACGATCATGCTTCAGTGAACAAGCTCTTATCCCCGACCGCCTTCAAGGCTTTACCCCCGCCCGTGCGTTCCTCGCGCGATAAGTGGATACCTGGGTATCGCACTCGTGAAACTTATGCCCCTGGCCAGTTTTCGCCGTGGTCGTCTCATCGCTTGGGCTTGTTCACTGTAGTTCACATTGACTTGGATCTCTTGTTCCACCACTACTCCCGGCCCAAGCACTACCTGTTCCCCGTTCCGGACGGTTCCCTGCGTCCGCCAACTGAAGGTCAGTGGTCCCCGCGGCTAGTGACCTCCGCCCAGATTGCTGCTTTATACAGCCAGAGACCTTGGGATGTCTTGGATCGGCCTATTGCACCTGTGTCATTCCGCCCGACTGACTAGTTCCAAGATTTGATTACCGCGTATCGTGAGCTCGAAGCCCATTGTCGCCAGGCGTTATGGGAGTCTACTCATGTGCTCCCAATCATCGTGGGTTCAAGTCGCGCGAAAGACCCTAGATTGAGCATCTTCTATGAAGAAAGGCGTCGTCGGCGTTCCCGGTCCAGCCCTCGGTGGAAGGCTGTACTCCGGATCGTGTTGGAGGGGTTGGTAGGGGGTCAGTGTGACCTCGACATCCTGTTGGACCCCTTCTGCCTGCACTTTCCAGGACGGTTTGAGAAATGTTGGTGTCCAGGGTTTGGCTGTCGACAGACCTATATCCCTAATCTGGCCTCAGACTTACTCCTTGCGGATTCCGCTGACCTCTGGCGCAATCAATATCGGGCAGCCATTGCTGACCACCCAGGCTAGTCCATCAACCGTCTCCGGACCAAGTTTGTAGCGCAGTAAAAGGTCGTCTCCAGCAGAGAGACCATGACTTTATGTACACAGTCATGACCACCAGTCGCTGCTTATTAAATTCACTTCAATTGAAAACTGTTCATCATGTTTTCTTGCTTCTGTGTACACCGCTTTGGTTGACCAAGCAACTCCTTTAAATCCATAGCTTACATAGTCATTCCTCCTCCTTTCACAGACCAGGTGGTCACAGTGTTTCGTGGCCGCGGTCACTGCTCTTGGTCATCTTAACTGTATGACCACCATGTTAGTTGACCACATCACTCCTTCACATTCATGGTTCAAGTGTTCATCCCTCGTTCTCTCACAGCCCATACAGTCCCCATGCTTCAAGGCCGCAGTTACCGTCCCTGGTCACCCTAACATCTGGATTCTTTCTCATGTACTTTCATCACTTCGAAACGGTTTCGTCTAGCTCGATCACGTTCAAACCCTTGCAATAAAGCACCACAACTGAGGTTTGCCTCATCCACCCAAGTCTCATCCTTATGACCCTTCCATCGGACCAGGAACTGTCGGTGTACCCTTCCGTACCGAGGCTTTCGTCCTATTCTCACATCTCGGATACTATCCACCTCGTATTCTCCTTCGTCTAGATCGTTTTCCCAGCTGTCCTTTGAAAGCAGAGCTTTGTCAAAATCAACACGCTCTGTTTCTTCCACCTCCAGCCGCGCAGCAGGTCGATCAGGCAATTTTCGTACTAGCTTCAGCTTGGATACGTGAACGAGTGGGAATAATCGGTATGGGGTCCCTTGTACCTCCAATCGCACTGCCTATTCCTCGCACTTCTCGATCGCCCGAATCGGGCCGTGCCACATGTGAGCCAGCTTATACGTTCAGCTGTACCATTGTCTTGAGGCCGATACGCCATTGTGGCACGTTGTTTCTCACCAGCGATGCGGTTGAACGCGCGAAAGAAATCCGACATGAATCCGAGTTCGTGGTCGTGACGAATAGATTCACTTGCCCCAAACCGCCGGAAAACACAGTCTTTATACCCTTCCGTGATTGTCTGAGCCGTTCTTGACGAGCTAGCTTTAGCGATCACGCCGCCAGAAAACAAATCCACCCAAAGCAACAGTTCGGTATTCCCTTTGAATGACCTGGGTAACGAGGGGTATGATACCTTGCAATGATCTGAGACGGGTACGTGGCCTGCATATTACCCGGGGATTCGCCTCGTAGGATCGGACATCCTTTCCCGGTTTTGCAGTCAACGCAATTCCCCACATACTGCTGCACGCTTCTGAACAAGTCTCTCCAATGAAAGTGCAATCGCAAGCGGTGATACGTTCGGCCTACCCCTTGGTGACCTTTTTCTAGACTTGCATGGTAGTGGTGTAGGATATCATCTTGCAGTAATTCTGGAACCACCAAACGGACGAGATCCGCGCGGTCACTGGGGTTTGCTGCCGCTCGTGGGCAAAAATAAAACAATCCACCTTCATTTACCACGTAATATGTGGCAACAACCGCACTTGCTTTTGCTCCGTAGTATTCAATTCGGTAACATCCCCGACTAGGTAAAGTTTAAGGTTGGCGATTCAACTTTCTTCATCATGTGCTTGCTTTATGCGCTCCAGTCGCATCGCTGTATTGTTTCCTCTTGCATAATCGTGGACACTTCACGCCTCCGTATGGCTGATCGTGTGATCGCCGTTATCCTGGCCACTTGATTGTTGGTCGCTGGTACTAATATCTCGTCCAGTCAGTTCATCGCTTGTAAATCATGGCGATCCTGCTCTGTTAGTCTGACCATGACTTTTTCCAGCTGTAAAGCGGAGCTAGCCAGTCTATCGGCACTTTAATTTCTATCGCGCTTAACATGTAAGAATTCATGAGTCGGTAATGATCGCAGTTGATCTAGAGCCTTGAGACGTAGTAACTGCAGTCCCGGTGCCTTGCAGTCAATTTCACCCTTCATCTGCCTGATGACTAGGTTGGAATCCCCACAAATGACCACTTGTATGTTCGCCATTAGACCCCTCTGTATTCGGTTGGTCATGACCATCCATCTTTGTCATTTGTTTATCACAGCTACCCACCAGCCTCTGTTCATGGTCATCGTCGATCTAGATATCACCATCCTGGTCTTGGTTTGTTTCTTGATCATCCTCCGAGTTGTCACACCGCCTAAATTCGTGGAAGTCCGCCTCCTTCAATTCATACAGGACTGAGGCGTATATGGCGAAATCTTCAATGAACCGGCTGTAGTAATTCAAGCTTCCCAAAAAGGACTGCATTGACCGCAGTGTTTGGGGAAATGGAATATTGACCAACGACCCCAAATCCTTTAGGTCGGCTTCTTTTCCTGATACCGGCACCTGGTGTCCGAGATACTCAAACTTGGGTCGTCCCCACACACGTTTAGGTAAACTGATCGAAAAATTCCACTGATCACATACTTCCAACAGTCTGTTTACCTTTTGATGGAAGGACGCCCAGGACGACGCCGGGATCAGAATGTCATCAATTTAGGACCTCCGCCCCAACACTGATGACTTTCGGTGCGGGTCCGGCTCGCCGAGCGTGAACACGTCGACCTATTGTGTCACCTTGCGGCCACTTGATCTCCGCTGTTCGCCGATCGTGAGATTCCCGTACAATGCATTACCCACCATACGCCGGTGTATCTGCGGCGCGTTTTCAACCCGAACGGCATACGTAGCCATTCATACAGACCTGAAGGCGTTATAAAAGCAGAAATCATTAGTGCTCTCTCCGTCATTTCTACAATCCCAGAATCCGCTGGCCATATCCAATGAACAGTACCATAGCGCTTTTTCCAGGTCCTGCAGTAAGTCTTTGAGCAAGGGCATGTGATATACCATCAGCCTCGTCAATTGGTTGACTTGTCGGTAATCTATACATAGTCATATATCTACCCCATTCTTTTTTACGATCACTACGATCGGCGATGCCCACTGAGAGGTTGAGGGACATATAATTCGCCGAAAGTAACCCTTTGATCAGGTCCGCCAAATTTTCACGGAACGTTGGGGCGACAGGCCTCACTCGTTGTGCTATAGGGTCGCCCCTCCTACATCTATGTCACATATCACGCCTCGAGCCGTAGGTGGGGGGGCGTTTGTCTTGCCCATCAACAGATGTCTTTTCTTCCAGATCAGCTGGCGTCATTCTTCTTGCTCTTTCGTCAATGGAACCCCTAGTTCGCACACCTGTATATCCTCAGTCTTCACCTCGCATAGCGTCATGTCCACCTCCGGTAAGACTGCCATGTGTCGGCCAACATCTTCCGCAAAAAAGTTCCACCTGAGTGTTGGTATGACGTATACTCCTGTTCTCCTTCGCCGGCGACCGCTGCTTCTTAATCCCCCAGATGGTCTGCGGTCGATACACCTCCCCATTCCTAACAGTAATTGCACCTAAGGAATCAGAGGACTTGTTTTGCATACGATCAGGTACCATATCTTTGATCGATTCGGGAGGGAGCTTCTCTTCACACTCGTGTGGGTGCGTTTCGGACTGCTCGTGCACCAACGTCGTATCGTTCATCGCATCAATAGGGTTGACAAAGTCGTCGGACGTTGGTGAACGCGTAGACATTTCTCTCTGGGGTTCATTCGTTTGTTGCTGCTGATCATGTACCGTAAACAACCCGTATCACGTGTGGTGATCGCGTTTAAAGCATCTGATGATCGTTCCTGTTGTGGTCCTTCTTGATCATCCTGGACATCCACATGGTCACGTCTCGGCACACTGTTTTCCCATTCCGCAACCTCTCCCCGCGGTCATCTCTACCGTATCCTGTGGTGGTCTTATTAGAATATGCGCTGGTGTTGGGTAAGACTGGCGTTCGACCAACGGTCCTTCTGCTTCCGGTACTTCTTCTGCTTCATGTCTATCTATAGAAGCTTCGTATGCAAGTGTTTGCCACTCTTGATAACGACGTGACCCTACCGACACATACCCGGGCGACCGTGGTATCATGTCCGCCGACTTCCATTGCCCGAACGGCGTCCCCTGTTGGATAATCACCTCTTGATCGGTTAGGTTGGTTTGGCGGAGGTACATAAGTCTTCCGGGTCCGGTCATAGCCGTGGGTGCCCAACGTGGGTGGCGCGTTAACCACAATTTCGACTGCAGTGGTCCCCGACCAACAATTACCTCTACTGAGTCACCCACCAGTATCGCCAAATACTTCTCATTCACAGAAATTTGTTGTATCTTCGCGCCATATGGTAATCTCCTACCTTCCAGTTAAATTCTGACTTCTTCCGGCACGCACACTGTTCCGTCTGCCAGGTCAAGGCGTATTCCAGCCGGTACCATGAAATCCATCCCTGGAATTGCTTCTCGTCCCACTTGGTCACCCACCCATACATCAAAGTAGTAAACAAATGAGCCATTCAGAGTGATCGTCACCTTTGTGCGGCCTTCTGCCATGTATGAATTTTCTCAGATACTCACGCACTCTTGCTTCTGGCTCTCATCTATGGAACATCCAACCTTACGAGCAAAGGTGGTGCCGATGATTGAGACTTCAGCTCCCGAGTCAAACAATAGGGTGGCCTTCTCATTGT